TGTGTGTGTGTGTGTGTGTGTTTGTGTGTGTGTGTGTGTGTGTGTGTGAAAAACGTAAATTTAAATACTAAACCGCAATAATGCTATAATTATATAAATTTAAACGTTGAAGAAGAGGGAATCCGATTAAAGCATCTATTTTTTCACAATCATTTGCATGCGTAGTTGGACAGCTATTGGAATCAAATCAATCAACGAAAGCTTCTATGGTCTAGTTGGTAAGACATTCGATGGGTAAGCGAAATATCCCGGGTTCTATTTCCGGTGGAGGGCTGAGAAAATGTGTTCAACGAATATTTCAAAAGCTGCTACTACTATTTATTTCCACCCGTACCTATTGTGTAATAGAGTGAACCTGGCGATTATTTCAATCTATAAATATAAATTTAGGGAAAACGCCGAAAGTTCTACAATCTTTAAGAAAAAGTATGTCTGCGTCTGCTTTTTTCACCTTCTTGCTGAGTTTCTCACAGGTCTAAGGTCAGACAATTAAGTTCAAAGTTACGAGATTACATTAAGCATTTGAACTAGAATTAGACTCTTACGTAACTTTAACGTGCAAGTTACGACACTACTATGTATTCAAATACTTATTTTAGAATAAATTAGAGCTACGATATTAAACTAAGCATCTGACCTTTGACTGTTTGAGAAAGTAGAATTTGAATTCGTAACTTTAACGTGCCAACAAGTTACGACACTACTATGTATTCAAATACCTGAATTAACTCTAATGTGCATAAGTTATAAGCAATGTTATATAAACCTCAGGATCTGAATTCGGTTTTTTGATTTGTTAGACTGAAGATGTCGTATTGAATACGAAGAAACATGTCTGGTTCTATTAAATGTATTTTTGTTGCTTTTAAATTCGTCTTTATACTACTTTCTGTTTGGAAGTTTGGCTGTATTGTACATGAGTTTACACAGACCAGTACGGTCACAAAGCAAGACCTTAGACTGTTTGAGAAACTCAGCAAGAAGTTGATCAAAAGCAGACGCAGACATAAATTTTCTCAAATATATATATATAATAATATATATATATACTTATATATATATATATACTTATATGAATACACATTGAATCTGATACAGTATATCGTTTATCTTCCTGCATATCAATAAAGATACAAGAAGTCATCTACCGGAAATTGTAATGTAACTATTAGGAACAAACAATGTCTACGCCGGGTCATACTCATTATACACCCTCTTACACTACAAATAGGGCCTACACCTTTTCCACGATCATGAAGTTTTACAAACAACCCAAGTCAGTAGTGCGTAACCAACAGAAATAAGATAAGCTTTGAGGCTGAATTCTTGTCCTCGTGTTATCTAAAAATCCATAACGGAGGGTCGTATTACATTAATTTTTTCTGGAAAATGTTTTCAAAAGACTATTCTACACCACTATATGATTGAAAAAAAATTTGAAAAATGTTTTTGACCTCTGAAATCAAGATGGAAAAAGAAAAGCCTATCTAAGTAGTGTAATAAAATAGGCCTATGCAGTACAGTGCAGTAGCCTAGTACTCGTACGGTTACTGTTCCAGGCAGTGGTGGCGCCAGGACCTACCTGACGGAGGGGCTAAAATCTAGTGGAGCGAATCGAGTCTCACTTAGCTGGGGACCAGGGGGGTCGCCTAGGGCCCCCGGTGGGGGTCCAGGGGCGAAGTCCCCTGGAAGCCACAGATATTTGATGAATTATGGCGAATTTTTATTACTTATTTGATAAGCATCGAGTTACTATATTATATGACTTCATGTAGGCTATGCTTTCCAATGTTGAAATCACCTTCCAAAACCAAAACATTTTGAATAGAGCAAGAAACAAAGAGTATGCAATGTAACCATCCAATTTATTTTCAAATCCTCATTTTTGAAAGTGAAATTATATATTTTGGAAATTTTGCATGAAAATCTGTCAACCACGCTGTCATGATCGAGGTTGCTTCACATATCACGATGTATTCCAACCATCATGAGGCTATCTAAATGAGCATTTGCATAACAGAACGCAAATTATTTTTAATTAGTCTCATTGAATTATTATTATTATTATTATTATTATTATTATTATTATTATTATTATTATTATTATTATTATTGATTATTATTATTATTATTATTATTATTATTATTAGGCATATTGTTATTGTTATTGTTGTTGTTGTTGTTGTTGTGATGAAAAACAATGGTGGCTAAACGAATATTACATGTAAATATTTTTTTTTATTTGTTGGTTCCCCGACAAAATTTATCGTCTTCCCCGACTGGGGGGAGGGGCTATGCTTCCCCGACGGGGGTTATAGCCCCCCAGCCCCCTTCTGGCGCCACCACTGGTTCCAAGTACCCATAATATACAGATTTCTCTTATTATAAAGTACAAGCTATGTTTCATAAAGAAGTATAGTACAGTAAACCATGTTTTTAACACAGGAAACTCTCATATGGTAATTAAAACAATGCTAGTCTAGAGTACTACTAGTACTACAAGAATACTAGTAGGCCTACAAGAATTCAGCCTCAAAGCTTATCTTATTTCTGTTGGTTACGCATCACTGACTTGGGTTGTTTGTCATCACTTCAAGATGTCTACCGATTCGTGGAAAGGCGTATTGTGTAACCATTCGGCTATATAACTTCAGTAAATATTTATATAGGCATTTACTACATTAGAATTGGATAAGGCACCCAGGGAAATAGACGCGATTGATATCGCCGAATGACGTCATCACTATTAGGTCAATTATTACAGACCTCTGTTTTACGATACAGGAAGCTTGTTTTATTCAAGCAGCGCGAGAGACTGAGTTGCAGAGCAGAGCTAAATAAACATCGTAATCTGGGCGAGTACTGATTTTAGGTGAGTATTTTATAAAGATACGACTTTGTAGAAATGGGTATTTTAAATTTACCTCCTCGGTACAAACCAAAGCCTTTGATTATAGTATTCATGAGCTTAATATATAATTATGAAGAAGATACATATCCGTGATATCCTGTAGTGATGATACATCCGTACCGTAGTGTAATCAGCTTCTGGTTTTGTTTTAGACGCCAACACATTAAACCATTTTAGTAGGCATAATAAAAATAGATAGCATTATATAAGTATACTGTTCCATATGTTATTCTCTGTACTGTACTATAGAATTGTGGGCTAGTATAAATTCCTTCCTTTGACTTTTTGCTTAGTTCATGTAGGATCAAAACAACTTTTCCATATAGTATATGGAAAAGTTGTATATGATATACTCTCGTTTTACCGGATATGAAATTTAGACTAATGTACCAGTCGGATGCGGATTAGTAGGCTTATTATCACTCCTCCTTCCCCACCACCCTCCACCCCGGACACGCTGCAGTTCTACGATTAGGCCTGGCAAAGAGCGCACATCTTACCCACATTGTTGGATTCGGGTCTTCCCCTTCTGTTCTCATTTTGAGGGAGGACCAATCCATGCGTGAGGAATATGCTACTACAGAAATATTGCTTTCCTGGCCGCATCACACTTCAGTTACTGCATAATGCAATAAGTAGATTATCATAGAGGTTCATAGAAGGGAATTCAAAATTGGAATATAAGAATAATCATAGAAATAAAGCAATGTTTTCCTTTTCCAAGTCAAAGGGCAGGGGCGGATTTAGAGCCTCCCCCCCCCCCCTCCGACACCACTCCCAGATGTTGCTAGTCTCGAATTGGAGGACTAAACTGTATTCTGAATTCTGCCCCAATAGGTACCTTGAAACAACTTAAACATTACTTCATCCTTCGTGAGTTTGTGCGAACCTAGCAGCAATGTCCAAGGGGCGGGGCCATTATGTACACTCTGTCTCTTATACACATCTAGATGTGTATAAGAGACAGGATCCGCTCCTAAAAGGTACAACCGGACCAGGGCGATGGGATGCGCACGAGCGGCCCTTTTCCACCCCTCTGGATCCGGCCCTGGCGTCGAACGTGTTGTATAGTGCTGCGTGTATTGTGTGACTACGGTAATGTTTGCTACTTTAAGTTTCCCCTTGCGGTTGGTTTTTTACCTGCGAACAACATATAAGCAATCAATAATTTCTCACATATTGTATTATTAATATTTTGTTCTTATGTAAAGCTTTTCGATCGCGTTTCTAATTCAGGTCCCTGTGTAATTAATTAACAATTCATTGTGTCTGCTCATTCACAAAATTAGTAAAATAGGCTGGCTCTCGAGATTATGCCTGGAAGTTGCATCGCTATGCAAAGAAATAGTATTAATGCCAAAAACAAGGAATAAGCCCATAATGGACCAAATCACATCGCCTCCAAGCGGACATTAAATACAACAGTTAAATATAAGTACCGTATAGTGAATGAGACCTAGGTCTAAATTAGAATCATCTTTTATGTTGGGCCTATCCATAGAAACGGATCTTGAGAAGTTAAAGAGGCTTTATATTCCCACCCCACCCCTCCCCCCTTAAAATATTACCAGCATGTTTTTTTTTTTTTAATTTTTTTTTTTAAATAAATAATAGTCAAGTAAGTTGGCCTAAATAAAACTTGTATTTAAGATAACATTTGTAAACCACAACAGCGTCAGGTGGGGAATAAATAATAGTCAAGTAAGTTGGCCTAAATAAAACTGGTATTTAAGATAACATTTGTAAACCACAACAGCGTCAGGTGGGGACCGGCCATACACCATGGGGGGGGGGGCTGGGGTCGGTTTTCATTTAAACCTTCTATTTGTTTTGGTATCCCCGCCCCCTCTTACGAAAAATCCTGGATCTACCCCTGATTCAAACCATTGGGACTCTCCGATGAGCTATTGACAATGGAATGCCACAATAGACCACGTAAGTATTTCAGCGCATGAGCAAATGACTGGTCAGAAACAGGATATTCTGATATTAGGTATTTTGATAAGCTACGTCAATCTTCGTATCACTTGTCACATTCGATGGACCATGCAGATGAGTGGGCCTTCGAGGGGAATTGGGTCAATGGAACCAACCGAGAAATGAAAATTAAGTCGCCGTGGTCCTTGCAGACACCCTTGTTCTATTAGGCTTTAAGTGTTCGTACCCTTCCACACATCCGCATTTTCATTATTCCTTCGTCCGTGACCTGATTCCGTATTTTGTGCCGTGATTTCAAATAACACAATGTCCCCAGTTTCCACAATGTTTACTGTATACAATAATAATAAACCTAAAATGAAAGGGCGGTAATGATAAGTAGGCATTTACGATGGTGAAGGCGATGATGATGATAATGATGCAGGAGCGGCGCTAGGGTAGTCCGGGTTGGCAGATGACCCCTTGGGGACCTCTGGATCCCCCTCCACCCTGTCGGGGAATTTCCAGCGAAAAAATCAAATCTCTAACACCGAAAGTGCAATTCCTGCATGCCTTACTAAGCTGCCAAAATTTTAGGGAATAAAAACTCTTTAGTGCGAGCAGTGTTACCGTATGTGTGAGGTGTTGCATTGCGATCGCATGGGTTGCAGATGCAGTGGTGCGCCAGCTCTTCCCCGAGAGGGGGGGACTGGTACCCCCGACGGGGGTTCGTACACCCACAGGGGGACTGGTATCCCGACGTCATAAATAAAAATCCCATAAACAAAAAATGTATTATCTTTTAATGAAACAAACTTAATTTTCCCCGACCGGGGTTAGGGGAGGGGTAGGCTTCTCAAATATGGGGGGTGGGGTGGCCACCTTGTCAGGGAGTTTGGACCTCTCGTCGGGGAATTCCTGGCCCCGCCCCTGCTAATGATGAGTATTAAGGTAACGTCGGTAATATAATTGGGTGTGGTGTTCACTTTCAAGTTCCATAATACAGGCATAGCGTTTCAGCTTTGATTGGTTGTTTGGCATGATTAGAACTATCAAAACCAAACGAAGTTTCACGTTACTGAATGAACACGACATCATTATCCCCTTGTTGGCTAACAGCGACGTCGTGTGGAACCCGCATGCGCGTTTGAATCATAAACGTGGGAAAATACTTGCAATTAACCGGTGCATTGACTAGCGATATACCGTAAGTCTAGCCATTGCACTTTTGTTATAGTTCATCGGTCATAATTTAATAGATCCATATAAATCAATCGTTAATGTGCTGTTCCGTGTACAATACATGCACACTACAAAAAGGGCACATTGTTAGACTTGTATATACATAGGTTTAATTGTATTTCGTTATAATTTATCAGAGTCATATACATTTTACAAATTTATCAACAGTTTTCTAGGAAACAGCTGACGGCAAATCTGTTATCGGTACACACACAGACTATTTTTGGCCTTATTAGTAGGCATACTGTATTATAAGTGTTGCGCTAACGTTCAAACTCTCGACTACAACAGTAAGGCATACATTATAAATATAATGTCGAATTGCGTCAAATTAACACAAATTTCTGTAATGTTGGTTCGCTTCAGTCTTAAAGTCCTCAAAATTCAACGATGCGAACAAGCTAGAATTCAATTGATCCGTCTGCAAGTCAATGAATTAATTATAAACCTGTCTCTTATACACATCTAGATGTGTATAAGAGACAGATATATAGGCACATGCACGCATTGTGTCATGCGATAACCTACCCCCTATAAGACGACATAGGAATTTATTTAAGTCATTATAATAAACCACGCCTTTCAAGTAACTGAAGAATGTAGCAATTACAACATCAAATCATAGAATTATTAGAGATGATAATAGGCGTATATTTATAATTTTTAAATTTCTTTTATCAGAGATCGTCAGGTTGCATATTAATAATCATCATAATCATGAGCAAGACTATAAAAGAAGTATTTCAAGAATACGCCTGCTTTGGGCGCCCAGGAAAGACTTCCGACATAACAAGCAAGAACTTCGCCAAGATGATAAAGGAGAAAGGACTAATGGATAAGAAGTTGAACAGTACAGAAATTGATATGATTTTCACAAAGTACGTCACACATTAACATGATTAGACATATAGCGACGTCTTAAGCCCTATCCAGACAATTAACTTTCATTTAAAAAAAAACATGAGATATGCCTAAATATGGTCATGATTACAACACATCATGACCATACATACGTCATCAATTCAATGACATATTTTTGTCAAAAGAAATTTTGATAAACTGGACGAGCTTTACCTTATTGAAACCAGTCCCAAGACGACTAAACTCTAGCAATTATTGATATAATTTTTTAAATATTTAAAACAAGAAAAATACTAATAAGTTAACGCAATGATTATTTTCATAGTGTCAGTCAAACTTAACAATGACCAATAAAGACAGGGCAAGAATTAAGCACATGTACCAAAACACACAGATTTACATAGGCCTATTCCTGTTCAAGCTATCGTTTTGTGGGACCTGACAATCAATAACTAAAAACCGGGGCTTAGCGGAAAGAATGTTCATTATGAGGAAGCAACCAATAGGCCTACACTAATTAGCTGGTATGCCGTTAGCTAGTAACATTTACAGATGTTTATATTATAATAATAAATTAAATCAACTAAAACTTTTTCCGGAATCATCGGTAACATTATTAATGATTTTCAATGAGCAATTTAATGTTTTAATTTGATGTTACTGTCACTGACAGCAGGTGTATTAAAGAAAGTTTAACAAATAAAAATAAAATCTATATGCCTAAGATATCTTGCCGTTTCTCCCCACCAGAGCAAAGGCTGGACCAGGTAATAAAGTGTTGACATTTGCACAGTTCGAGAATGCCTTGTCTATGGTGGCCAAGTCAAAATATGGAAATGAGGCCGAAGTGGAGAAAGTCAAAAGTAAAATTTTAGAAGGCAGTGGACCAAGCACAGCTGGAACGACGGTAAGTAGCCCGGTAGTATACAGATATTGATGTCTCTTTTTGACAACTAACACACATTCCCTCGTCATAACCAAATTATTACAGAGCCAGAGTTAATCGAGCCGCTCTCTAAATCCAAGACCCCTCTGATTTGAGACCTTTTATTCGAAGTACCAACTACTTGTACTAATATTCGATATTACCAACTACTTGTATTAATATTCAATATTTGCACAAGACTATAGCGCCCTAGGCTAGACTGAACCCCGACACCACTCCCAGATGTTGCTAGTCTCGAATTGGAGGACTAAACTGTATTCTGAATTCTGCCCCAATAGGTACCTTGAAACAACTTAAACATTACTTCATCCTTCGTGAGTTTGTGCGAACCTAGCAGCAATGTCCAAGGGGCGGGGCCATTATGCACACTACATTCATCAGTTAAGATATTATTTATATTTAGTAAGTTAGATCCATGCCAGTGGCATAGGTATAGGCAGTGCAGCCCGGTAAAAAGCACTGAGGCACAGGAGTATTAGGGGCCCGTTCAATAGGTCTTTGAAATTTATAAAAAAAAAATTTAAATTTTAACCGACTGAATATCATGATAGTAAATAAATGTCTGATCTGATATTTTGCTGGATTTTCATATCACTTTTTATACATATAAGAGATATTACAAATCGTAGGCAATTACTGTTGTCTGACATATTTGTGCATTGCAACTAAGACAACTATAGCAACTATTGAGACTATTGCATAGTTGTCTCAGGCCGAACTCTCAACCGTCACTCAGGCTGCGGTCGGTTTAAAGGGCCCGGTAATTAATTTTACACAGGGGCTTGTCATCACCTTCTACGCCGCTGATGCATGCGTTGAATGCGTTGGACGTCGTGTTTATTTAGCCGACATACTCCTATTCATTAAAGCGAAGTTTCCATAAAATTGCTACACTGTCGGTACAGTGTTTTCACTGCACTGTGCTGTCACCGACGCACAATAAGGAAGACTCCCCAATCGAACAACCGACGACCAGCTTCGCCGAAAATTGTGGGCAATAGTGTGTAGCGACTGTATGGGAACGAGTTTTAAAAAAGAATCTTCATATGAGGATTGGAAAATTCGAGTTATAGCCGGTACACAGTGTAATAAAAATGTCAATAACGATGATGATGATGATGATGATGATGATGATGATGATGATAGGCCTAATAATCCAATGTTTAATAATGTACTTCGCAACAAATATTTTTTATTATATAGTATTGTATTCTTTTCGTTTACAAAGGGGGTTTCAAAGACGGGTGGTGTTACTAAATTGACGGATTCCAGTCATTACACAGGTAGTCATAAAGAGCGATTCGGCAAAGATGGCAAAGGAAAAGGCATCGAGGGCCGCAAAGATGTTCACGCCGACGACGGCTATGTGCAAGGCTTCAAAAAGTGAGCACGTGACCAAAGTAGAGCAGACGATGGACAGTTGAATAGCAATACAGTAGAAGTGATCGACGTAGGCTGCATGTGGATAATTTTTATATAGACATGTATCGTTATGTTTGCTGTGTGTGATTTAAATTAGTGCCAATTAAAATCTGTAATAAATTTAAAGGATAATTTCAATCTAGGCCATTATGTAATTTCCTCCGCGGTTAACAGTAAGGCATATCAACAGTATTATAATTGTAGTCGTGGCATCAACCCCGTTTATATACCTTTTCTTCATGATTAACATTGGCCAGGACTCCACAGGTGGAGAGAAACATATTTAATAATTTTGATGCGCATAATTATACCCATGGCGAGTTGAAATTCAGGGAAACAATAATACAGCAGAAAAAACATACAAATATAATATGGTTTACTTTTGCCGATTTTTACGCCATACCGAATTTCGGTAGAATTCGGGAACAATTTGGATGTCTGAATTTATGATATATTTTAGTTTGATGGTTGTTTTTACATTGAAGATAATATTTCTCATTATAAGCATATTATTTTGGGTACATTCACTTAGCCAGAGGAGAGGCGATATTACGCACAATCATAGGCGATGGAAATAATAACATTTTTTTATCGTGCTGTCCGTCAGATTTTATCTGCATTTTATTTATTGGTACTATTGTAATGTTTATTGAGGGTATAGGCGCACTCTATTGGCCCGTCTTGTTACCATTCCTTTTTTGTCAATAAATCTAGTTACATGTGTAGTGCACACTTAATTTAAAATCAAAATTTTACTCGAACAACAAATTATTATTATATACCAAAAAGTATTTCATATGCATGTTTATTGTAAATATAAGGGCAAACCATGTTTTTATATATAACAGTTTTTATGTACACGGTGTCTTTCATAAAGAAAAAAATTGACACGGATATATTAGACGTAAAATACAGTATTGTAATTTTTTTCAACGTCAAGTTATCAATGTGTAAGAATAATGAAAGTATTTAGTAATTATTTGTATGTTTTCATTTCTTTCAATCATGGAATTAAACAAATGCTCATAGCGTGATGAAATCGTTTAAACAACCCTTTCAAATCCTTAACCAAACGAACCTCCGAGGGGTTCTAGAAGGCCACAGCCCACGCCTACATTATATTCCCGTCAGTCTTTAGGCATCAAATAATAAGTGCTAAAGGGGGGGGGGGGGGGGGAAATGGCACATATAAACGAAAAATAAAAGATAGAACAGAAAAACCGAAAAAAAAAAAAACAAATGCAAGACAGCATGAAAACACTAAGGAAGCTGGCTGTGAAATCATGTTATATAAAACAAAATGATGTTCATGGAAATAAATAAATTCGATAAGCATCATTTTTACAAACTACTATTGTACACTCCCGCAGACAGAACAATATTAAAACATGGTTGACTCAAATTGGACCAGAGTACTAATTTATTAATATACCATGATTTGTACAATATTAAATATTTGTACATAAATTGAATATAAATCGCATTACAGAAAAGAACTAGTAAAACTGAATTTTACTAGAATAATTTACATATTTTACGATCATTTGAGCAACGTTTGGCAGTCTTAGAAGTGGTGGCGCCAAAGTTACTGGGAGGTCAGGGAAAATTGCTTCTCTACCACGTCGGACAGCTATGGACCCTGACAAGTTTGTTGGGCTAAAGACAAATATTTGCCGATCCAAACAAACGTTATAGTTATTGCCAATCCATTATATTGTGACCTAAAAGCACAATCCTGAGCCATCCTACAGAAATTGTATACCTCCATATTTAAAGTAAGTTCTTAGAAATCGTTTCCAAACCCTTAAATCGAGCACACAGTCTAAAAATCAACAAAAACTTAATTACTTTTATCTAAAGCCTTGTCTACACTATCAAATGTTATGTGACAAAAAATGTGATGTGCCCATGGGCACGATGACGTCATATCACATACTTTCAAATTGTATTACAAAAAGTTGAACATGTTCAACTTTTTTTTATGTTGCCTGTCAAAAAGTTGTCAATTTTTTTTAGAAAACACATTTTGACCAATAAGCAAAGACTACAAATCACACCAACCAATCGGATTTGATAATTCAGTTTTATCAAAATACATCACAGTTTTGAGGCAGTTTGATGTGTTTAATATTCGATGATATTGCTCCATCATATTTTATGTGATGCTTCTTTTTTTATGAAATTTGATAGAATAGACAGAGCTTAACTGTCATCAAACGTATTTAAAAAGATCCTGCCACGTTATCAAGAATTAAGTAACAAATACCTGCGAGCCTATGAATGTGATGCAATATCACCATGTCCATATAACAGACCTTTCCGGAGGTAATAAAACTTAACAACCAACCAATCAAAACAGAGTCAGGAATACGTGTTTGTCCCACAAACAAAGAACCTAAATAGCAGAAGAATGAGCTGTTCCGCGTATTTGCATTAAAATTGATGGAACATCCGCCCTCCAGCGAATGGGGTAAAATTTGAATATTTTACTAAGTGGAGAAACTACAGGAAACAAACGAACCAGAGCGGCGCCTGTATTATTACTATATAGCGCAGCCATGTGGATGGGGTAAAATTGCTCTCCGTGTACCCACAATGCCTTTCGAACGGATGTTCCACTTTATTGGGAAGCTGCTCTATCTTCTGCTATTTATCTTTGCACAAACACAATTGTTGTCCCACAGACGCACGTGTATGTCGTTTTGTGGAACCTAAGCAACAATATTCAAGAGGCAGGGCTTTGCAGAAAGGTCCAGTGGGCCTAACAACTCCCTGAGTGGGCGAATCACACAAATTTTTGTCAGATAAAACTTTATAGTATGGTCGCTGCCTAACATGAGCAATTGAATGCCTTAGTTCATTTGTCAACGCCTTAATATGTAACACACCTACCCTCCAACCCAAATGAATATGTACATTATACAAATCTTACAATAAATATTCTCATATAAATATGCTCTCCTTGTGTTTCAGCTAGAGGGCTGAAATACAAGTTGCTGTACATTTATCAAAAAGGAAGCATGAGGATTGGCTCCGGATGCAGATTAACACCCGGACTACTCATGCAAATTCACCAATGAGGTCCTCCAACAGAACAAAACCAGTAGTGTTGATTGGACAAAAATGAGGGCGCCATTTAACAAATACAGTAATCTTTAAATGAAATGGTTGCTTGATATAAACGAGGGTGCTATTTAAAATATTCAAATCATTTCAATGATCTATTAAACGCAAAAAACGAGGCAAAATGCCACAGTAAAATATACAAACATGCATATTATTTATATTTATAATAAAAAATATTAAATATACGGAAAAAAATTAATACACACATCAATCACTATTTTATAATGCATAGTATAATGTTAATATTGTTGAATTTTATTAAAATATTAATACAGTATTTCGTGTTAATGTAAGGTGTAAAATTAAAATCTGGAATTATTAAGTAGATATTTGGAGCCAAAAATATACTGGAAGGATAACTAGCCATAAGTACATACTGTATAAATGAACTAAGCAAAAGAGGTATTGCGCTAGGAAAAACCATCGTTAACTACCGTAGTTTAGTTCAGTTGGCAAATTGTGGTAGCAGCCGTCCAAACGTCGCTGGTTCAATTCACACTCTCTTTACCATATTAATTAGCAAATAATTTTTACTAATGTTCACCGGAAAAACACAACATTACTTCACGTGTCTCCATTGTAACGTCTTTGACTGTTCACGTCACTTGTGAAGCTCCCTGACGAGAGCCCCTGTGAGCTTGTATACTTTGGCATAATATCCATCGTCCGTTTCAGCTCACTATACGACCAATGAAGTTGCTTCACTTCATTGCTATGCCGATCTTTTGTCTCATTCAATTCTTGTAAGAGGTGATCATTAGTTGTTACCAAAGATCTAAAAGGGAATGGATTATTTTGCCATTAAATAGTGTACATACCCAATGTCACATGGTATTAAATCCACCATTCAACTGACAGGAATCTACTTAAGTGCGTTATACTAAGCAGTTACTATAGTTGCATGTCATACACTAATGGAAATTATTATATGAAGGTTAGATTAAAGTATGAAAAGCATTCCTGAGGGTCTACAAAAATATACAAAATATGAGCTTACTTGTGACTCTCTTGCAGCATATTGGCTAGTTCTTGCAGCTGTGCGTAATGTTTAAGCTGTAGTCTCATCTTATCTATTTCCCTCTGTAACGTTTCATTCTCATCCTCCAGAACACCTATTTTATAACAATGATAAAAAGTATGTATTGGAACATGATGTACCTGTCCAGTGGCATTCTGGGGCAGATTTCGGAAGGGGAACAGTGGGTGTGTGTCCGTTCCGTTTTGCCACTGCCGTCTCTTTTTTTGAATTACAAAATGGTGTACAAATACTCAGTATGTTACAATATTTCATAACAGCATATACTGTACACGAATCATACGACTATTGAATAACAGTTTACAGTAATGATCGCGGGCAGTGCACTTTTTGCCTGCACTTTGCAGACGGGCATTGTACTCCACATCCACCAACTGCCTACGCGAGCAAAGCCAGCCTGCGGTAAAGATTTTAGAAAATAACTCGCAGTCTGGACTAAGCACACGATATACAAGGTCTTTTTGTATAAAAACATTCTTGGTTCATTTGTAACCCATAGCTTACAATTTCTGATAGGCCTATAAGGTAAATTTGTATTACAATTATCAACATGATCATCCATCATCAGTTAATGATATTAATCCTACAAGACAAATTACATCTAGTTGTGTATAAGAGACAGATACATGTCAATACATGCAGGTAGATCAATACATAGGTATGCATAAAATGATCATACTGTAGAGCCGAACATAATTGTTACATACAGTTTATGTTTACACTGTCGTTTTGTGGGATCTTAGCAACCATTTCAAAGGGGTGGGGCTTAGCGAGAAAGGGCCATCAAAACTTTGTGAACTCACTTATGTGTTTGGTTTGTAGTTCGGATGATTTTACTGCTGTCTGGATTTTTGGCATCCCGGTCTCCATCGATGATACTTGCTCCTTTAGGGCCTGGTTTTCTTCCTTTGCCTGATGCAGTTTTTCTTTCAAAACATCCTTCAAAACCCAAATAACAGAAAATGTAAAGAATCTCTAATGAGTTTTTTTTTTTCCAATGTTTAGTAATTTGGCTGAATATTCACCTAACCTTGTTTCTTCTGATCTGACACAATATATTAAAATAGTGTACAGTTATAAAAGAGATAAGATATATTTCATAGCAACATGATATGGAAAAGGGCCTTAATGATTATAGAGGCTTGTACGATGAGCGGAAAAATGGGGGGAATTTCCGCCCAGACCTCTTCCTCGTCCCGCCATTGGTCACAATTCTGCATGAAGCAATCATCACCTTCTCCATCTATGCCTAAATCATTCTAATTCAACATTTAATATAAATGCAATGCAGGTTATACTCCATGCAATATGTTGGTACAGCTGGCAGATTTAAAACTGAAGCAATGTAGATAAAGTGTCTTGCTCAAGGATACAGGTGAAATGAACAGTGAAGGATTTAAACCCCAACCTTGAGGTTAGGAAAACCAAACCATTTCCACTGTGCCATACCGCTTCCATCTTGTGATTAATACTCCTGGGTAAAAAGAGAAAAACAAAGACATTAAGTGTCCTAATGAGAAGAGATGAAAACACTGTTTCTCACCATATCATCCTGTGCCAGTTGAAGGGCAGTTTGCAGACCTTCATGGTTCATCTGATTCTGCGAGCTCTCCTTAGCACTGGTGGTAAGCTGTCCTCTAAGACTGACATTCTCTTGCGCAAACTTAGCCAAGTCCTTTTGGTAGAGGTCTGCTTTCTGTTGGCTTTCTGCTGTCACATCCGACACAAAGTTTGATAGCATTGTCCTTGCTTGACCTATACAGTAAATATTTTTATTAACTTCTTACTAATAAACATATTGTTCTCATTGGGATTCGAACCCAAGATTACTGTTCAACACCATGATTTTTTTTTATGATTAAAACAATTCCACTAAGCCTAACCCTATAAAAAATCATACTTTAATAATGTACTGTATTATAAATTCTACATCTTTTATCTAATATATTAAATAATAACAATAATATCTACCTTGGAATTTTTTATGTTTGTGAAGAGATTTTGATCCATTCCAATATCTATCAACAAGATTTAGGAATTTGGTGAGAAACTCTTCAGAAACTGGATCTACAGAGCCATCTTTATCAGAAGATAATGAAGTTACTTGCGCAGGCATTTCTTTCTGTGGGTAAAGTAAATGATTGATAAATATTGATATACAAAATATGCAAAATGGTGATACATCATGATTTTCCCCCATTTTAGTTTGGGGAGAGGGAGGGGTGAAGTAGCACAACATCTTGAATTGTTAAAATATTTTCTGCTCCTATTTTCATGGGGGGGGAGGGGGAGGGTGATGATCAAGTTACTTGCGCAGGCATTTTTTTCTGTGGGTAAAGTAAATGATTGATAAATATTGATATACAAAATATGCAAAATGGTGATACACCATGATTTTTCCCCATTTTAGTTGGGGGAGAGGGAGGGGTGAAGTAGCACAACATCTTGAATTGTTAAAATATTTTCTGCTCCTATTTTCATGAATTTTGATGATCATGATCATTTTATTGTAGTGTATACATTGTTCCCAATATCAATAAAATAAATAAGATAACAAAATAATGAGATTCATCCAGAAAAAGTTTGGACTTTTTAATGCTGTATGCTTAAGTTCTTGATACCACCCAGGTATAAAAAACTGATGTGCCTCACTGCCTTCAGTATAACCTGGAATATAAAAATTATGTAATATTTTTTTTTGAAAATCAGAAAATATTTGTGCAGTAAGCATATTTGTTGTTCTGTTACACAAATTCAGCACAAGGTGAGGTTGCGATACAGTAGCTAAGGAGGATATGAATGCACATGACCACTCAATAATAATGAATTTAGGATCCGATTAAAGGCTTACACTTTCACATGAAGACGCAGGTGCTGGTTTGTAGTATGTTTCACTTTGCCCTGTAAGCTGTCTGCTCTCTGTTGGCCTACGTTGCGGAGTTGCCATAGCCGACTCTGATGTGTACCCCTCTTGTGTTGTTTTGATTTGGTTGGTGGTTGCTCTTGAGCCAGAAATACCCAGATGACTGGAATCAGTTTCTGCAGACACTCATGAGTGGTAGATAATGATACATTTTCAAGAAGCATTTACAAATATATACAGTATGAGGACGATTTCATTGTCAATAAGCATTATAAGATGTTTCTAGGATAAATACATTTTCAGAATGACATTAATGAATTTACCAGGATTAGAATTTTGAGAATCATTAATGTACCAAGAAGATTAAATTTTCATGATGCATTATTGAATGTACCAGTACCAGAATAATTAAATTTTCATGATGCATTACTGAATGTACCAGAATAATTAAATTTTCATGATGCATTAATGAATGTTCCAGGATGATTACATTCTCATGATGCATTAATAAATGTACCAGTTTCATCTAATTAATTTGAGAAATAATAACCCAATTTATGTAATACTCACTAGGATTTGGGGTGAAATATCCAACCGACTTGTAAGAAGAGTAAGCATCTGTTTCATCAGTGAACCTTAAGTTGGGATCTCCTAGTTCTGTTCCTCTTGGCCGGACACCATCCTGGAATTGCACTCTGGTGCGCCCTCTAGTAGGACTATGAGGTCTAATCGTCTGCTGTGTATGACCTTTGACAATTTGAATAAAGATAAGTAATGAAAATCAACTGCTCTTGAATGCTATAATGCACGTCATCATGTTGTTGTTCATTCCGTAATTTACATAACATCAAAATAGCAATTACCAGGATAACCCATAAAATCACAGGGCTAAATGAATACAACATGTAAATACCTAATTCATATAATTCATTAAAAAACGTCTTGCTTTTACCTACAACAGGGAGTTTTGAATACAAATAGGCATCATCAAACCCTGGAGCTTGGTTGCGATGACCTGTTTCTCCGTAGCCACTGTATGCCACCTCTCTATCTTGAGGATCTCCATCAACATCGTGCATGTCCCTCATTTGTGTTACAAGGTTTGCGCGGCGTGATGGGGATGGGTGAGTAGAGTACTCGTCATATCGTGAAAGGCTAGGGTGAGTTTCTACTGGTTCAACATCAGTTTCCTGACTGATTTTCACACCTACAGAGATATGATTAGCGTTAGGGGTCGTTCACAATTATCAACATTTTCAAGTGTACAAACAGTACTCCTTTTCGATACCCCCTCCCTCCCCTCTGAAAGTTTACAAAAAAATGTTGGTTTTGCAAAACCATTCTCCATTATTTTGTGAAGTCAACTGAAGTAATGTACTTGGTTGCTTATTATATTTATGGTAACATTATAATTTTACCATTATTTTACATGTTGTATATTATTTTGAATCAACATTTGTATGCATATGTAAAAGTGTACAAATTTGTCTACCCCTTCCCTCTGTCATACTGCTTGTACACTTGTCAAAATGTTGATAACGTTAAACGACCACTTAGACTGTTCGAAATGTAAAATAATTTATACTAATATAATTTAGGCTCCTCTTTGTAGTACAGTATATTTCAATGCATGTGTATATATCATCTACATAGTTTTGACTGGACTGCATTGTACCTGCACTGTGATCTCGTTCATGGTGTTCAACAGATGGGGCTGCAACTGCTGATCCAGACAGCACTCTGGGTCGTCTTAGGTCACCGCCAGTCCTTGCAATCATGTCAAGGAGCTCAGAATCGTCGTCCTCTACAACTAAAAAAGATGTTTAAAAAAATAGTTATAATCACCATCTTCTTCATCATCATAATTATCCTCCTTCTCATAATAAACCTCCTGAAAGTCATCATTCTCCTCATCATCCTTCTCACCATCATTCTCCTCATCATCATCATCATTATCATCATCATAATAATTATCGTCATCACTTTCACCCTCATTATCGTCATCTTCATCGCTCTCCTTATTGTTATTGTCGTCGTCATCACCCCAAAACAATCATTCAGTTGTCTGGTGACTAACCTGATGTCCTCTTTGCCATCCCTCTTACATACTCTGCTCTTGGTTGGTATAACCTCTGACCTTTCATTACAGCTTTCTCTTCTTGAGCATGCTCTGTCAACTCATTAGCCTGAAAGTATAAACAATAAGCATTCAGGCCAAGACCCCACTAAATGTTAGATAATTAAAACAATTAGTGCCATTTATATACATCTGCCACTGATCCACTCAATCACATTAAATACACACAGCTCCACCGTCAACATACTACTGTATTGCCTGTGATGTGATGATTTTTTTTTGTTGATTTAGCCACAGATTATATCTTTAATCTTCAGAAGGTAAACAAATATGAACACACCCGTAAACATTGTAATCACCACATCTGAAAATTGCTTACTCACCTGCTCGGAATTAAAGTGGAGCAATGCTGCTTTCCTTTCGCTATCACGTACAGAGCGGTCATCTGGTCAAATGAAGAAATTGTACATAAAAAAAAAATTCTATCACGTTTCTTACAGAGCGGTCATTACAAATAAATTGTATATTGACAAAAATATTACAAAGCACACAGGATTGTTTATTACTAATCAATAATTTTTGTTTTTACAAAAATAGTAAATCATTGATAGCTAGCTTGTTAGTATTTGAAACCTAACCTCCTAGGTCATTGTTCAACAAAAGCATCCATAAAAAAAACCATAAAATAGATTACAAAATACAACATATATACTGTACATCAGATGTTGTTATTTTCCCATTTTCAATGTTCAAACAACAATTTTTAACAATTTTGTGAATGTTTCTGCCTGAGAAAGCCCCGAAATCGTAAAGTTTGAAAGCTGATTTCTCAAATACAGTTCTTTAAACATTTGTATGTTTAAACTCCTATTTAAACTTCATAACAAAATGTTGGATTTTAAATGATTCTTTTACCATTTTATTGCTCTCATTTTACTGTTTAACCCAGTATTAATTACTAAAAATTTTTTTGCGAGGAGTGACTGGTTTGGCTTGTCTTTGTCATAAATACTTTCATTAAACATTAACTGTTTGTCAGCAAACCTAAATTATCAAGGGTTGGCAGACGATTGTTGACATTGTGAACAAAGGATTTAACCACGACAGTTATAACCAAGCCCTGTAAAAGGGATTCATAGAATAGCAGCTGCCACAGGCAGCTGATGAGGGATGATAAACCCCTTTGTTGTTGTTTGTAACTGTGTCATTTTTAGAAACATAATTAATGAAAATACCAGCAGTATAAAGAAATTATAAATAAATTTATAATTTTAAAATATGAAAATAATATTTAAATATAAAGCTTTGTCCACTCTCAAGTTAATGTGATAAATTTGTGTCATTTGCTCATATTATGGGCATGATATCATATCAGTATCAGACCCATATATGGGCATGAAATCATATCACACCCATATATGGGCATATCATATTACACCAATATAAGGACAATATGATGTCATACCACACCCAAATATGAACAATCACAAATCCGTTTGATTTGCTCATGTTATGGAAGTGAAGATGTCATCTCATTCTCACACATGTATGGGCATGATAATGTCATACCACACTCATATATGGGCATGATATCATATCACACCTATATATAAGGACATAATGATGTCATACTACACCCAAATAAGAACAATCACAAATCTGTTTAATTTGCTCATGTTAAGGAAATGATGATGTCATATCTCACACATATATGGGCATGATTATGTCATACCACACCCATATATGGGCATGATATCATATCACACCCATATAAGGACATAATGATGTCATACCACACCCAAATATGGACAATCACAAATCTACTTGATTTGCTCATATTATGGGTATGATAATGTCATATCCCATTCATATATGGGCATGATGATGGATCAATATCACACCCATAAAAGGACATAATAATGTCATATCACAACCATAGGACATAATGATGTCATATCACACACAAATATGGACAATCACAGGTATTTGCTACATAAAACTTAATAGCGCGGACAGCACTTAAATTTAATTTTACCTAGTTTCCGGAGGTTAGGCAGCATGTGCACTACAAAAAGTCTGTAGCCTGGTTCATTCTTAGTGACTGGGTTGAGTCTAAGATCTAATATGGGTATATTTGCTACATAAAATTTAATAGTGCGTACAGCACTTAAAGTTCATTTTACCTAGTTTCCGGAGGTTAGGCAGCATGTGCACTACAAAAAGTCTGTAGTCTGGTTCATTCTTAGTGACTGGATTGAGTCTAAGATCTAATATGGGTATATTTGCTACATAAAACTTAATAGTGCAGACAGCACTTAAAATTCATTTTACCTAGTTTCCGGAGGTTAGGCAGCATGTGCACTACAAAAAGTCTGTAGTCTGGTTCATTCTTAGTGACTGGATTGAGTCTAAGATCTAATATGGGTATATTTACTACATAAAACTTAATAGTGCGGACAGCACTTAAAATTAATTTTACCTTGTTTCCGGAGGTTAGGTAGCATGTGCACTACAAAACGTCTGTAGTCTGGTTCGTTTTTAGTGACTGGATTGAGTCTAAGATCTAATATGGGTATATTTTCTACATAAAACTTAATAGCGCGGACAGCACTTAAAATTCATTTTACCTAGTTTCCGTAGGTTAGGCAGCATGTGCACTACAAAAAGTCTGTAGTCTGGTTCATTCTTAGTGACTGGATTGAGTCTAAGATCTAACTCCTGCAGGTTGCTGTTGTGTCGTAGCTGGAATAAATCCTTTAAACTGGATATATTATTATAATATCTAAGAAAGCCTTAGCTAAGAAAACAAGATTAAATCAATAGCAGATCAATATCAAATCAATAGCAAATCAATATCAAATCAATAAGGGTCCACACATAGTATTCATTCTCTAAAGAACTACTGTACCACTGCTTTCTGCACTATTTCAGGTCATCAAATTGCAAATACTGTAATGTATTTGAACAATTACAATAAAATTACAATACATAAATGTATCCATTAAAAATTAATTAACTAATTAATTAATGAATAACTTTACATGTCCAATCCTAATTATTCTACCTGCATGCTACAGATGACGGAGAAAATGATACAAATTACTATACAGTATTATTTTTAACTAAAAGTGAAATATAATATAGATTTGAAAAAAAAGGAGTCTAATCTATGATGACAACTTTAGTGAATATCAGTTAGGAGTGAGTTTGTTAGGTTGAAATTTTGTGAGGGTGAGAGTTTGTTAGGGGATGATATTGTTAAACCACGATCACAATCACTCATGTACAGAGAGTAAACTACCACCACCAACTTCATACCTGCAACATCCACCAATAAATATCACCATCATTACATTATCCTAATCACTACCACACAGTGGTGGTGCCAGCAGGGGGGCAGGAGAAATTTTCCCCTTTGGACAGCCCTAGACCACCATTGTCCAACGAACAGATCAAAAAAATAATAATTTTCCTATCAAAATAACCTTATTATGATTGCCAATCCTTATATTATGGTCTAAAAGCACAGTTGGACCATATTAAGCCATGAAAACTCTCCCAGTGAACCCTACCAGAGATTTTTTTTATTCCTGGCGGTCGACTAAAGCTTTGTAAGCTCCTTGGTTGGGACCCCTTCATCAGACACGTCGGACCCCTCGTCGGGAAATTTCTGGCGCCACCACTGCTACCACACTGGAAAAAAAAGGATACAAGTTGAGTGTTTCAAGCATGGTCAGATGGTCTAGCCCATCTAGACTTATTAGCGAATTCCTTGACAGGTCAAGATTTTTAAGTCTTTCAAAGCTGTGCAATGCAGTTCCAAGGTAATTAATCTTTTCATGATAACTTCCAGGCAATGACAATGACCGTACATCACCTGCAAAAAAAAGTAAATAAATAAAATAGAAGTAAAATAAATATTTCTTATAGGCCTAGGGGCCTAGGCTGCCCTAGATCTAGCTTAATTAAGCAGGGAGGTATAAACGCGTTACTACTACAGTACTATATATTGGCCTGCCTAGCTAGGCTCCAGTAGTATAGGCCTAGCCAAAGAGTTGTTGTCATACTTATTACTAACAACTCCATGGCTGATGGTAGGCATGGCACATAGGCATAATAGGCATAGCCTACTAGGGCCGCCCTAGGCCTCCTCTCTGGCGAGGCTAGCTAGGCTATGCCTAGCTATGATGAAAACCGTTACTGTGGCGCACGTATTATGATTTCTGATAGCAAAATTCACAATAAAATAAATGACATTGTTGTCTATAATAATTTGTAACGTGAGTTTAACTTACCAAGATTTTCATAGTTTAAATCTACTCTTTCTCTAACCCAACTTTCACTTGCCTCGACCGCCATTTTTTCAAAGTTACAATATTACAGATTCGACCACTTCATATCGAGGGGTCTCTGAATAAAAACAAAAACTCGGCTTTTGCACATTAATTGCTGTAGGTCTAATTGTTATACACAACAATAATTAATATTCAGATTTTATTATTTTATATTTTATTGGGTTGTTACATCTTTAATTATTAAAGTTATATGACTAATATAAATAATGTGCTAATGGCAACTAGGTTCTCAGATAATGGATTAGTCATCATAAATCAGGGATTCCCTCTTTTTGTTGTTGATTGACACCGCAGATATCAGATATACACACGACATCTGTATAGTTAAGAACAGAATCAATGATAGTACAGTAGAGGACTACGTACCCACGTGGTCGTGTATATATCCTACACTAGTCCATACCCAATGACGTAATACATTACAAAACAACAGAAGATTGCGTGAACGAAACGGTTTCGACAAACTAATAAAAAAGTAAGGTAGGCCTAGGCTTAAGCCTGGTATTTTCGCTAATACTGATACTGATACTTTATTTCAAAATAACAAACTGCCTCAGGAATAATTTTTTATGTGCATAGCTTATGTCAACGCTAAAAAAAATGCGGCCTACTCTAGGCCTAGAGTTCTGATGATGCCTTCGCGGCAGGGCCCAGGCAACGCTATGATAGTATGCGGAGACTAATCACTCTTACATAAAGGCCTAGCCTGGCGTATATCTAGGACCTCTGCAAGGCTTTACCTAGAACTAGCTAAAATACCAGGCTTTCATCTAGAAGACATAATAGTATTCTAGCCCTAGACTACGATATATAATAGGCGTATCTATATATGTTTAATCATGATGGATCATTTATTTGAACTTTTTTCATATGTACCCACACAGGTGATTTTCTGTAGAACTAGAAGAACGATTCCTCAACCTAATCAACAATGAATATTCTACCAAAAAAAAGGTAAAAGCATGGCTGACATATACAATAACCAATGTGTTCTCTTTGTCAGATCATCAATTTGAAAATTTATAAAAGAATACAGTATTATTTATTTTTCCTTACTTAAGTTACGATGTAGTTTGTTTGTAAATATAAATCTTATCGTTCCAGTTAACAAGTATGCCATTATTGTATTTAACTCTATATTATAATGTGTATTTTTATTTTAATATTAGTTGGCATGTTCTAAAAAAAGAAAATATAGAGAGAGTTAGGCGAGATGAGGCCAAGGCTGCGGAGGAAGAAAAACAAAAGCAAGCACGAATTGCACTTGCAGTGAGTAGTCAGTGATCGGTTAGCTGATTTCTATAATTTTTTTCTAAATAAATTTAATGAATAATGATAATACAGTACATTATTTTGGTATCATAGTGTATTACTGTATGTATTTTATATAACAAGATAAAAAATAAAATATTTCAATATTTTAGAAATAGTAAACATAGAAAATGTATATTGATGAGCTAAACTATCATAGCTAAGTTGCATATTCACAAGCTAATGCATATTGATGAACTAAACTTAAAAGCTAAATTGCATTCATGAACTAAAATGCACTATGAGAAAACAGAATAAGTGTTTCTGCACACTAGAAAGTCCCACATACAAATAATTATAATTACTCTATATGGGCCATTGATTGCTTTCAGGAACAAGAAGCAAGAACAGCAAGACTGCGTCAGAAGGCGAGAAAAAATTATAATGAGGCAGTGAAGCAACAAGGGCAGCAAGGAGATGACCTTGCTCTTGTTGCCATTGATGACCAGCCTAAAGGGCACATAAACTTCTTCAAAGATATTCAAGAAGGGGTAAGCTTTATTTGTCTATTTGTCATCATCATAATTATCAACATCATCATCATCAAAATTATCAACATCATTATAATTATCATCGTCAAAATTTCTGTTACTCTGTCAATGTTATTTGTTTCATTTACATAATATTATTATAATTATAATGATTTTTGCAATAAAATTTTATAGAAAAAAATTGGAGGAGTAAATGCTGATCACGAAGCAGAAAAACAGGCTGAAAAAATCAACTATGAAAAGAAGATTGGACTATTGACCTACCTAGGTCAAAGTTCAGCAGAAGCGCAAACAGTAAAACCTTGGTACCAGGAAAGTAAACGCAAGCTAGCCAAGGCAAATGATAAGCTTACTACAGAAACTAGGTAAAAATGATGATGATATGATAATGATGATGATATGATAATGATGATGTTGTGAAAGGAGTGGTGGTGTTGCAGTTGATGATATAATAATATGGTTTTGGTTACAATGGCGCTGTTGACAATACTAATTTGTTACTGGATATCAATGATGGGTGGTCATATTGTAATACTGTTTTAAGGTGATCATCACAGCACCTATGTGATACTTAAGCAAAATATCAGAGATAAAAACGAGGGGATGCTGACGGGGTGTAAATTGTAATTGAAAGGCTAGATGATTGAGCTGGCACTACATGGCAAAATAAGGTGCGATTATTAAAACTACTTGCACAGCTTTTTTTTTTGCCCAGCAAGTTTCTTGAGGGGCACCTGAAGAAGGTGCCCCTGATGAGCCCTGTTTCTCACCCCTCCCGTCCTCCTATTGATACAACACTGCTTGTAGTGTTACTCTTTTAACATCATAAATGAAAGCATCATTTTCAATTCTAGTAGTCACTTCATTGATTTGTTTTTATATTGAAACAGCTCAGTTGATGTTAAACGGAAAAAACTACTGGACCCAATGGAGGAAATGAACCAGTATCTTAGCAAGAAGTCAGTTAGTCAATCAGGCCTAAAGATGGCGCCAGACAGACTGAAGCCAAGTGTAGTCCAACCAAGTTCGAACACTGCATCAAAAGTGAGGAACCATTGTATCAGTTTCAGCCATATTGAATACCAACTTGTATAACTGAAGTAGTATATATTGTCCCCATGCTCCATTAGCATTTGAGTACTTGAGTCCTCCGACACAGGGACAGATCCAGAGAAAAAATAAGGGTGGGGCGGGGGCCATGCGATGTGTGAAGTACCGAGCGAGGTGTTTGAGATTTTTGCTTAGGAGTGCTTAACCATAGACACTGCTGGTACATGAAATTTAAATCTAAATTAGCGTGTTTTGGAGTAGGACGACAGTACCAGGCTCCCCTCTTTCTCTATTCTTTCCCTCTTTATTTTTAGATGGGCCCTAGCCCCAATTTTGCCAATACACTACTAATACAGTACTTTTATGTTTTTTTACAATGGAGCCTTTCCATAGAGAATGGAATAATTAGTCTAAATCTATAATTATAAAAAATGTTAAGAATTTAAATAGAGTTGTAAACGATTTTTGTCAGAGGAAAGCTCCGGTTCTGCAGTAGATGTACTCCACTGACTTCTTTTTGTTACACCTCGCACGCTCACAAACAACCGTAACTCCCGTACTATACTCACCACAACATTAACAGTAGAAACTCCAAACAATATTTCCGGGTCTGGTTAGCCGGTATATTGGCTAATTTATTTAAACCCACAACAAAGTAATGCACATGAGCTAGAACAAATCACGATGGCCGCTCTGGGTAATACTCTAGGTAAACTGACGCTGTGCACAGCTACGCCTGCGTGCACATTCCTAAGGACACTTCCGCTTGGATGGAGGGGGGGGGGGGTGGCAACTTCATTACAGAGCAATAACTATCTCATATTCGATGGTGTTTTGTATCAAGAGGTTTAATAGGGTTAAGGGCAAACATCATTCCAACAATATTATACCTAATAATCTGTATTTTCATCCTATTTTTCTGCCTCTGCACAACCAGTTTTTACATTTCTTATGACCACTCTAAAGTTGTAGCATCTTTATCTTCTTTAGGTAGAACAACCTTCCAGGACTAATGATGATGCTATTAACAGAAGGCACCACTGCCGAAAAGAAGATAATAAAAGACATAAGAAACATGGAAAGTACAAAAGTGTTGAGGACTCAGATTCAGAAAAGAATAAGAAACACAAGAGACACAAATCAAAACACAAAAAGAAACTCAAGAAACATCACAGGAAACATAGACATCAAAGTCATTCTTCATCAAGCTCAAACAGTGAGGACTCTGGCAACACTCCTAATACCACAAGTAACACTTCAATTGAGAAACTCAGAGCAGAGCGTTTGAAGAGAGAGACTGCAGAGCGAGCTAAAACAGAAAGATTGCTATCTGGCAACACCGAGGAAACATCAACATCTCCTATGAGTATTCCAGAGAAAGTGGAAAGCACTAGAGGACGATACAATTCTCAATTCCATCCGGAACTGGCAAGGAAACGGCATGACCGAAAAAACTTCTATGTATGATAAATAATAGACTAGTGCGATTTTATATTTACGTTGGTACATCCTGCAAAGGTCCTAATGGTCCGTAAGCACAGGGTAACGGGGGCTGTATGAACCAGTACACCGGGTAATCCCCTACTCGTTTCAAAAGATTCACTTGGTTCTTTAAAGTGCACATGAGCCAATTGTTTACACTAAGCCTACGGTTTATAGTCCTTTACTGAGAAGACATGTTCCACCTCAAGAACCACAGGCAAGCGTGGCCCCTGCCGTAACTGCTCGGCCATTCGGGCTTTCTTGCATACCTCAACAAATGCACTGTGTGCCCGAAAGTCATATTAATGTACAAATCTCTAGTGCTGAATGTCTCTCTATTAAATGTGCAGGTTTTTATATTATTATTTGGTACATGTTGAAAATCAAGAAGGAAGTGCTGATCAGGAGCCTGGGAACCCTTTGCTGCCATGCATACCACTTAGTCAGTACACCTGGACAAATCCGCATTACTATGCACGCAGGACCAGCGACTAAGTATTCCGTTAATTACCGATTCTACAGAGTGGTGTGCGCTGGTTTCAGTGAAAATAGCAGTTGCAACTGGATAATGTTTTTAATAATATACTCAACTTGATGCACTGTTTTACAGCATTGGTCTTACAGGGACTATTTTAAGATTTTCTGCAATGGATTCAATGTAAAAATAAAAAAATAGATAATTATATTGAAATTTCAAGTCCAAGTGTGCCATTTCTTGTGAGCTAGAGGTGCCATAATCATAACTCATCATCACGACTACTGACTAAGCAAGGCTACCAATATGTTCTTGTTCAGTACAGGTATGTGTATGTACATTTACGCCGTACAGTTAAACTTTCCCAAGTCAACATTGCCCAAATCAAATAATTTCTAAGTCGGTCAAATTTTATTTCAACTCGAAAAATATTTCAGTGGCACTTCGGATTTGACTTAGACAAGTTCAACTATAGTTATTTAAGGCTGGGGCTTAGTGGAAAAATCCTTTGACAAACTTCGTTAATCTCCTTAAATGGGAAATTCAGTGTTTCAATCAAATGTTTTAAGGTTTTTCCTAGATCTGTTATTTATTGAAGTAAAGTGTTTTTAAAATTTAGAAGAATCATGTCAAATGTAAGCATACCGCTGAACATCAAAAATTAATTCTGAAGTGCTGAATCATACACTTTAAGAGCAAGAAGTGAGTAGAGTACACGCAAGTAATTTACTTTACAAATTTATTCTCCAAAAAAGAATGAATGAAAAAAAGCTAGTGAGCTAAAAATAAAGAAATAAGATATTCACTTCTACATACAAATGCAACAATATTTATTCTTATCGAGGACTCCCTATGGAATAGGTATACAGTACTACAAGTTTATAATACTGCAGTAATCTTCATTGGACTTTCAATAAAAAATGTTTTCAGGTACTGTAAATCTACAACAGGAATGATTTTATACATTACTTAAAAAACAAGTTGCTGTATGACTAGAAGAATAAACTCAGCGACAAATACCGTCACTATCATTGTTGCTTTATCATTGTTGTTTTTATTTATTTTTTGTTTTTTTTTTGGGGGGGGGGGAAAGCGACAAATACCGTCACTATCATTGTTGCTTTATCATTGTTGTTTTTATTTATTTTTTGTTTTTTTTTTGGGGGGGGGGGGAAATGTGAACTATGCTTTGTCTACCCAATCAGTTCTGTGATTTTTACACGGGCATAATGTTATATCGCAACACCACCCTATGAGCGAATTCACATGGTTGTCGCAAAACTTAAGAAATCATAATTATGTTTTAACATTAACAGCTTTGGGGGCGTTTAAAATTTTGTGGATTTAGCCAAGCCAACTTTATGAAGGAATAGCTAAGCACAAAAAAGTTATAGATATTCCCTTTAAAAAAAGATTATACCTCATTCACGCGAGATAAAATTAAAAAGAGAATGCATTGCTTAACCAAAGATATTCCTTGCAACATCTTCACACAATGAATTAGAACCTTGCTAAAAACTTGGTACGCAGGCAATTAAGCCGGGCATTCAGGGCCAATGCGGTTCTATAAGGGATGCACAACAGATCGTTTGTAATGACGATCCCTCCAGACTGCCACTGTCAATCAGCAGATGATGTCCCATCATCTGCTGATGATGGGAAGCGTAGTTGGATTTATTGTGTGACTGTCGTACGACCGCCTACCGGCTTAAAGTTACAATGCGCAACATGGTAAGCAAGCTGTGCTGTAATACCACACGCTCAGATCTATGCTAAATACCTTGGGAGTGTAACAAGCCTCTGCGATGTCCGTTTTCTTACATGGATATATTATTACAAGAGAATTGTGCTAATCTTGTAATGACATAAATTCACATCACACAGATGGCACAATATACAGTACTGTAATACATAATTCTCATGAGAATCGGGCGTTTGTCTACTCTGCAAGAATATAGGTTGTGGTAGTCTCATTTACAATTATACCTGTAGACATCTGTCAATGTTTTAAGTGTGCAAGTGCGCAAAGACCTTGCAGTGTTGTTTCAAAATACACAAACATGCAAGCTTAACATATGCCCTGGAATTTTTTCAGCAGCTGTGGTGATAATGTTGTATAGTTTCATTGCATACACCAGTGAACCTCCTTGGATCTCAGAAATCTCATCTACAGTCAAGTTTAAACCATTTATGTTTAATTTCAATCAATGGTTAACATTTCGTCTTTCAAAACTTTTTTTTTTCTCACTAATCACTATTCACTGTCCATGTTTACTATTTTATCGTCTTCCTCCACCACCTCCTCCGCCGCCCCTTCCTCGTCCTCGTCCACCACCACGTCCACCACCTCGGCCTCTACTTCCTCGACCTCTGCCTCGTCCAACGGCTGGGAAAAGAAAAAAGTAACTGAAGTTACAAAATCACAAAATTTCTGTACAGAGTTAAGTTTCAAATGGTTGGAATGTTTATTCAAAAGCTGAATAAAAGTGTAATTATTTCGATGTGAATTTGTTTTGCACTACCGGACGTGTTATCGTACCGAATACTCAGTACGTCTTCAAATACTTGCAAAAAAATAGCCAGGCTAGTTATATGGAGGTCGTGGATTTGATTCCCACCCAAATCACTTGCAAATTTTTTCCCAAGTATTTGGGGTTGTGTTGGGTATTTGGTACAATAACACGTCCGGTAGGGCAAAACATCACTCCTATATTTTCCCAATGCAAATTCACATCAAAATAACATTTGCAGTACCCACTACTATACCTGGGGATCAGTTCAACACTACCCACTAAGCGCAAGCTCAGTAGTCTAGTGGTTATGGCGCCAAGCTTGTTATCTGAAGGTTGTGGGTTCGATTCCCATGCAAACCACTTGCAATTTTTTTTTCTCAAGTATCCGGCGAAGTACTGAGTATTCGGTATGATAACACGTCAGGTAGGGCAAAACATCACTCCTAGAAACATAATTGTTTTATTGTAAATTAAACTGCATTATACATACCAGCTTCCTTTTTCTTTGCTCTGGCTTTTGGTGTATCATCCACCAATAACGTGTCAAGTGGTAGACTATCTGGGAGGATGAAGTATCGGATGTTGTTGCCCCTAACAACCAAGGTATCTATCTGAACAGGTTCCCTTCCTTTCACTGTCATTTTGACGGATTTTAGATGGGTGTTCATTGCAACATCCACGCCTGAAACAAAACACAGAAAGTTATTAAAGTATAGTTCTTTTCCAGCACAATAGGATGGTTTGCAGAAAATGGATATGAATATATGTGGCAAAGACAAGCCAAACCAGTCACTCGTCGCAAATTGTGTTTCAGAGAAAATGGCCAAAACATGCTGGAATGTCAAATTTTTAAAAATCTATTTTATTTCACTAAACTGAGGTTTATGAATCTATACATTATGCTGTGCTGTTAGTTTTCCCAATTTCAATGTTAAAACAACACTTTTTAAAGATTTTATGATAGTTTCTGCATGAGAAATGCCTGAAATCATAAACTTTGAAGGCTGATTTCTCATATATTGTTCTTTAAACAGCTGTATGCTTAAATGCTTGTAACTTCATAAGGAAATGTCGGATTTGAATGATTTTTTTACCATTTTATAGCTATTATTTTACTCTCTAACACTGTATCAATAACTCAAAATCGATTTTTGCGACGAGTGACTGGTTTGGCTTGTCTTTGCCACATATATTGATCAATAGGAATGAACAGCAGACTTCTTGTACATGTCATTTTTAAATAGTATTATTGTACCAGGCCACATTGGAAAGGGTGTGATGTTGGGGCAAAGTCTTCAGCTTAATTTTATGAAATCAGCTCAATTTTTCAAAATGTGTGGATGGATTTTTATTTTTAGGCCTAAATGATTGAGTGTGGGTATATTCCTAGCGCATTGTTTATATTTGATGCTCAAACGGTTGCTTTTCAGTCCAAGTACTGTACCCACCTGTTATTGTTCCATGTACTTGTGTTCCATTTTTCAACTCCACTGTCACAGTTTCATGGCTCAATTTCATTAAAAATCTGAAAAAAAAAAAAAAAATATTAAAACGAAATAGGCCTAGAATAAAAATGCTCATTTTTTTTTTTTTTTTAAATAAATAAAAATGATGTGTAGGTAGGCCTTGCCCTTGCACGGCCTTGGCCGAGTGCAACATAGGGTAATTAAAAAAATAACAGAATGTGTAGGCAGGTAAGCCTAGCTAGGATTGTTTTTTTAGGCTAGTCTAGGCACCAACCAACCGCCCAAGGTCCATCCAAGCTAGGCTATCTAAGCCGCGAGTCACCCTTGCCTTGCTTGTCCCTAGCCACTAAGCTAGCTAGGCTAGGGCCCGGTCCTAGACATACCTGTACCTTATAGGACTTTGTCTTTGGAGGGCAGACCTACATAACTAGGCGAACAAAATATTTGTGAAATGTTGATGTTGTTTGAATTACTAATTATCAGAAGATACTATCGATATAAGCCCACAGCTTGGCTGGTCTACCCAGCTCTACTAGGCCTAAACCGAAAACGAAAATGGCACAGGTGGAAAATAAGTTGTACACAGCCTACATGGATGATTTTAACCAACATAAATCGAATAAATACTAATAAACATGGGTAACCTAATGTTCACAAATTATATTTATACCACTAATCTACAAATTTACCTAACGAGTTTCATGATGAGCGAAGATAACTAAATGCTATCCTCTAAAAAATTGTGTGAACAACAACGAACGCCGCTATTCCGAAATATGGCGCCGTTAGCGTCATTACAACGATTCGTGTGAGGGCGTGCTATATTCAGGCTCCCCAGAGCCGTAGATAGAGAGAGTTTGGCCAACTCGGTTTCAATCACGTGACTTACACCGGCCATGTTGTCACCAAAACAAAACAACGCGATAGGGTAGGAAGTTAGCAGTTATTATAGATGATTAATGCTATATAATGTGAAATACCGTTATGTTGGGTTTGGGGTTGCTGAAATCGATCCAACAAAGAAACAAAAATGTATTAATTTCCTTAAATTCCAAAAAGGAGGAGGATTTGGGATTTTATTTTAACTTTGCATGGCGATCGAAAAATCTCGCTATCCACGTAGTAAATTATTAGGCATGTACGCCCGCCCCACTTCGCGGTAATAATATATCCAACTACTACTACTAGGCCTAGACAGGCCTAAATTTCGGCCGAACACCTTAAGGTAGTGCGGTACTTAAATCAGCTTAATTACGATGATAATAAAAAAAAAAAAAGGAAGAATTTTCAAGCAGCAATGATTTATAAAAAGATGCAATGTTGCACTTTGCTGTTAAATTATATTATTAATTTCCAGAAAGCTACATGAAGTATCAAAGGAAGAATTTTCAAGCAGCAATGATTTATAAAAAGATGCAATGTTGCACTTTGCTGTTAAATTATATTATTAATTTCCAGAAAGCTACATGAAGTATCAAAGGTAGCTTAAATTATAATTAAAAATTGAATCCTCCAATTAAAGCAGCAATGATTTATAAAAAGATGCAATGTTGCACTTTGCTGTTAAATTATATTATTAATTTCCAGAAAGCTATATGAAGTATCAAAGGTAGCTTAAATTATAATTAAAAATTGAATCCTCCAATTAAAGCGAAAACTTGTCCAAGGAGTCCTGTGCTATGCAAACATGCCCCTTGTGCTTTACAAATCAATTAATTGTGCAACTAAAGATTTTAAAGATAAAAATACATTTTAAAGATATAGGCCTATAATTGTATTATAATATATTGATTGTTGTAATACATATTTTAAATCAAAACGTTTAAATGTTTTACAAATTACAAATCAAAATTTCAATAAATAGTAAACAATGAATAATAAATAATATATAAATAATAATAATTATATTATTATATTAATAAATAATACAGTAATAATGATAATAAAAAGGCCTAGCTTCTTGATTATTAATGATTAGGCATATTCCAAAAACCGAAAGGTCCACTGATTAATCTCAGATAAGAAAGTATAATACATACTCCAAGTATTGAAAAACACGACAATACATGTTGGGATTCAATATTTCGACATTAATTATGTCATCATCTGGAATGGATGATTCCTGATGATGACATAATTAATGTTGAAATATTGAATCCCAACACGATGGCGTGTATTTCAATACTTGGAGTATGTATTATACTTTCTTATTAGGCATATGTTGTAAAAAATTTCTCTCAATGCAATAATTCTTCAACTTTGATTTATTGTTTAGATTACAATTACAAATAGGCCTAGGCTATTTGTTGGTTTGAAGATGACCAGCATATTTTATTTCATAAATTAAAGTTTACGAAGTCATAGGCCTAGATACAATTAGAAAACTTTCATGTTATTAATATTTTTATCATTCATTTACAGGCGAAATTAACATGTTATCGCCGACGATTCACAAACCAACTCTGTCTGCACAACCAAAGTAAGGTAAATATGATTATACAGTACCGTATATGATATTTACAATGATATGTTAAAATCCCATAATTGAATATTGTCCTCATGAACAGAATAATGAAAGAAAGTTTATGCAGCATCAGTGTTTAATAAAATGTTATAAAGCTATACGCGCGCGCGCTGTTTGGTGACAACATGGCGCCCATGCGCCAAACTCTCTCTATCTACGGCTCTGAGGCTCCCGTAGTTTAATTTGTTATGGGGAAAGAGGAAATGTTTCACTCCTAGTTTTCCCCTAATCATATCAATCGCTTTAGTGAAGTCGAAAATTTCAGTGAGTATGTAGACACCTATTTTTGTCCCGGTTTCCCAAACTAAAATCACACCTTTCAATTCTCCTTTATATCTGTCTCTTATACACATCTAGATGTGTATAAGAGACAGGCCTCACCCCTCCCGCTTCCAAGATTTCAGATGCTGGCGTCACCATTGGTGATTTGAGACTCCCTGTGAAATTGTGCACAGGAAGGTTTAAAAGAACAAGGTACAGTAATTATTGATAACACGTCATCATTTTTGCATGAATAGGAAAGAATATTTTTTTTTTAAATTGAAGGCCTACAATTTACGGTTCTGCGCAGCGTAAAGGAAGTTTAATTACCGTATTTTATACGAATAAACGCCCCAGGTCGTTTATTGTTGAGAAGAGCGGGAAATTATACCAGGGAGGCGTTCACTCGACGAAGGCATTTATTTTACTTTATTTATTTGTTTATTTATTCTTTGGTGTACGATGGATACGTATACACTCAAATAAACGCCCTTAATTTCACTGTAAATGTGGAACTACACATAATTACTGTACCGCCAAAATGTATTATAGCGTAATCGTCATAAAGACTTATTGATCCTAACCAAGTTAAAATAAATGTAAATCTGAGTGTAGAACATTAATAGAATATGTTGAGAATGATGTTGCTTTTATATAGTTCTTTTACTGTCATTTAGGCGGGGGAGAGGGAGAGAGAGAGAGGGAGGAAGGGGGCGGGTGAATTTATTCGAAGAAAAAAAAAATGCCCCGGGTGGTTTATACTGTTCAAGGGAGGCATTATTATTCCCATGGTCCAATATTCACTAACATGAGAGTGCAATATCCAAAAAATTGAAGGTTAAAAGTTGAGATATACGTTCCGTCGTTTTTTGGCCAAAAAGTGTCCCTTTAAAAGAGGGGTCCCAAATGAGGGCTGTTGTAGGCCTACTTATCTATTTGTGATTATGATCGAATGGCCTAATATTCACGTCTGGCTCCGGCTTGGCCCTAATTCCGGGTTACTCACTCTTTATTGCGCTCAGAAGTGCGCCTCGCGCGCCACACCGAAATTATTTGGCGTCCCATATTAGATTTCTTAATTTTTTCGAAAAAATGCTTCAAACACCACACAGTGTGGCAGAGAGACGCACTGACAAAACAAAATGGATTATTAAAACTCGCTGATTACATTTTTACTATCGTTTACTGTATTCTTCACATTGTTATTGCAACAGTTTCAATCCTATCAAAACAATCAATCAATCAAAAAACTTATTATTACTGTACTTGAATTGCAAAGTTACCAGTTGGTTAACTTTGTTAAAACTTAGCAGTGGATTGATAAGAAATTTTTTGGTATCATTTCAAAAGTACTTCATTACTGTACTGCAAAACTAGATTTAGTAAATAAAGAGCTTTTGATCTCAACGATTATGGGGTACTGATGTCGTCACTTAAATTATCTGCTAATCAGGGGTGGATGGGGGTGCTAATCAGGGGTGGAGGGGGGGGGGGGGTAAAAAAACAAAATCGATCGCCCAAAATGCCTCAGAGGTTATTTTGGGGCATCTGGAAAACAAATTTTTTGAGGGAGCTCCTAGGGTAGTGTTGTCTCAATCGCCCCAATTTCGGTCCTCATTTTCGACATCCCTGAATCCACCCCTGCTAAAGTTCAAGGCATCCCTTGAATGGACGAACCAAACCAAAATCAATCCAAGCAAAATGTAAGTAATCACTATTTGAAAATGTTGGTAAGATTTTTCTCAGGCCCAGTGTTTTTGGTTCCGTTTACCCTTAAAATACAGTATAATGTTATTAAAGATGTATTCACATCGAATCCGAAATTATGGATTAGAAAATCTACCGAACCAATCAGAAAATCGAATCAGTATTTAAGAAAAGGGGTGTGTCATTCAGTGTACTAGAAACGCTTTTCAAATTTCCGTGAAATATATCAATGTTGTTTGCTGATAATACAGATTTAGTACAAACATTCTTAAATCAGGTACTAGCAAATATAAGTTTATATTTTCATTATTTTCTTAGCTCAACACCAATTTTTAACTTAACACTTTAATGAAAAATAATTAACATTGTATCGATAAAATGAGACCTGCACCTGAAAAAAATATTATTTTGTTTTCCAAATAAAAATCTACATACAGTATTCTACATAAGCAATTTGGTCCTTTTGAAAATACTGTAGAAACTGAATTTGAGACTTTTTATAGGGAGCTTTCGAATTGCGCGACAACTCCAGAACAGCGGATTCACTCATCCGTGAGACGAGTGACCGTCGTGCGTTCTGTGGACAACGTAAATTCGGGCCAAAATGCGTTCTTGTACGTGCTTTATATGATGTCATGTTTATATGATGTCATGTTTATATGATGTCATGTTTATATGATGTCATGTTTAAATGATGTCATGTTTATATGATGTCATGTTTATATGATGCCATGTTTAAATGATGTCATGTTTATATGATGTCATGTTTATATGATGTCATGTTTATATGATGTCATGTTTATATGTCATGTTTATATGATGTCATGTTTATATGAAGCCATGATTAAATGATGTCATGTTTATATGATGTCATGTTTATATGATGTCATGTTTATATGATGTCATGTTTATATGATGTCATGTTTAAATGATGTCATGTTTATATGATGTCATGTTTATATGATGTCATGTTTATATGATGTCATGTTTATATGATGTCATGTTTATATGATGTTACCTCTTACTGCCGTCGTAATGCAATTGAAAGCTGCCTAAAGCCTGTTTTCCAGTAGGCGAATTTATTTGCATGAATCAAAAGTCGGTTCATGCGCATGCACATTCACATTTCTATCGGAGTTTTTTGCTTCAGCAAAATCGGTAATTTGAAGTGTTACTTTTAGCGAAGCCAACAAATGCACAACCTATCGGAGCTCAGGAAGCGAACCAATGCTTTTGATTCCCGCGATGAAATTCACCTAGTGGAAAAAGGGCTTTATATTATATTTAGTAAAACGTAAGTGAAACTGATTATTCTGAATGAGCTAAACTCAGTGTGAATCTGGGTCTGGATTGGTACAACACGCCTAAAAGGAGCAAAGCGAGGAGGGATGGTGGTGCTGTTGCTTCTGTACTATGGATTCCTCAGATAATCAACTATAGCAGTCTTGAACCTTTCTTCGTCATGTATTGATTCAGAGCTAAGATGGTCAAATTGTTTTGCGGCCGAGTTGATTTGGGGCAAAGCTTATTGGGGCCATGTTGGTTTGCGTAGAGTCAACCAGTTGCGTCTATGTTTTAAATATCATTAGTGATATAATCACTAACAGGCATTCATGGCACTGTATACACTGAACATTTAAAACCTACATTACAGTATACTAAAATCCTGCTATAATATTAATAATCAACAATCTTCTTTCTTCTCTGTCTTCATGGCAACGATGCTGGCAGATCATCATTGGTTTAATGCACTTATACTAAAATCCTGTTATCATCAATCAACAATTTCCTTTCTTCTCTGTCATCATTTTAGCATCGTTGGTTTAATGCACTTTTATAATTCTAATGTCTTTCAATTTTGGATTGTTACTTCTTCATGATAAATTATCACTACGCTTAAAAGCAATTCAGGTATCACCGCCAATTCAGGGTTTAAATTAAGATATATTATCTTGATGCAGCCTCTTCCTCTTTGAAGGCGCTGTTGTTACGGGACTTGAAGCAGTGTCTGCAGACTTCCCTGGATCATTCCCTAATCCAAATAATTCACGTACAAGTTTAAAGCGGGACAAAAATGCTTTCCATACGATATACCATCCTGTATAATAAGAAATACATAAGAAATAATTCCCTTAAAATTTTGTTTGATGGGCTGCAATGAAATGCCAAATAAAAAAATATTCTCACTTTAAAGAACCCAGAACATTCTTCCTTGAACAACAGGGAGTTACACCGGTTTCACTGGTCCATCCGACTCCTGTAGGGTCAGATGTAGGCTTCGGCTAATCAAATAAGTTAAGTAGTGATCTTTTCTTGTCTGATTGATTGATACGGAAGAAATTATAACACTCAGATGTTTCATGAGGTTTAGCCTAGCAGGGCAAGGGCCTACCTAGGCATCTCTAGTCCGTAGTAGTAGTCCTAAAAATAGTAGTACTGTAGCAGTAGGCCTAGGCATAGGCTTGGATTCTCCAAAGGCTATAGGGGAGGAGGGCAGGCGGCCAGGCCAAGCCTACCGGCTAAAGTTGACCTAGGCTAGGCCTAACGCAATGAACATTTCCTAACCAAAAATAAACTGGACGTCATATATTACCAAATGCAATGAATAACAATACAACAACTAGAGCTGTACAAATCGACACAACTGCTAGTAATACATCCTTCATTTTCGTGTCATTTTGTTTACATCTGCTTCTCTCAATCTGATCCTTTTCCTTTTGTGTCTCTGTTTGTCGATTGAATAGAGGGGGCTATTGTGATTTTGCGCAGCTTCTATCGCTCTCTGTTGTCAACATACGTACTAAGTACTGTACTTCTCTCACCGCGAGGCTATCAGATTCTAATAATAAATCTATTTTTGTAATTCAAAGAAAAATAAATACAAGGATGCTCTAAAGTAATGCATACGCTGAATATCATGGTTGCTTCGTCTTCAACTATTTATTTTAGAAAAAGCTATGGTTACCTTTTAATGGATATGGTGATAATGATTATGATGATGATGACGTGTTGATGGATGATAGTAATAATGTTAATTATGATGATGATGAGGAGATAATAAATATAATGCAGCTTTCGTAACACATCACTAATTAAACTTTAAAATCTAAGACTTCTTTCTGTTTGCACTGTTCCTGGAATGGACTAAAATATAGTTCTACAATAATATCTCATAATGATTAGTAGGCCTATATTTAATTCAGTAAGTTTTACTATTGACTTCACTAAATTAAATTAAATATAGCCACACCGGACCTCAATGCCGTAGCCAGCTATTGGGACAGTTGCGACAGTCCCACACAATTGTTCTAATGGGTCCACAAAGAATGGGTCCATATTTTTAAAAATGGGTCAAAATTATGAAATTTCATGCATAAAATAAGTCAACATTTTAAAAAATGAGTCCAGATTTCTCATGTTTAGCCTAAAATATGTAAAAGTTTTAAGAAAATGGGTCCAATTTTTTTTAATATTTTTGCGTAAAATGGGTCAACTATCAAGAAAATGGGTCCACATTATTTGAATTTACGCGTAAAATGGGTCCACCCTGACATACAATCAATACAATACAATAAACTTTATATCTGGCAATAAACAAAATACAATTGAACAAATATTGTACCACACTGCTTGAAAATCTTGGCTACGGCACTGCCGGACCTATATTGATATTTAGGAAATATTGACTTCAATCTTTCGACTGATTTAATTCAATGTAGGTCTACTCTAACATCCTAATTTCTCGCCTTCTTCCTAGGAGTTGTCGTTTTCGCTTACTCTACCTCTCCAACGCTCCGCGATTTCACTAGCAAATGTGGTTTTCTGCAGACTGCAAAGCCGATGCTCATGTGATCTCGTTTCTACCTATCAGGTAAAAGCGGCCTGATGGCAATAGCCTGCTCCTGACTGACGCTGCTCGTCTTCTGCCACACCCGCTTTCCTAATTGTCTTTTTAGGTAAGGTGAGAAATAAAGAGCTCCTCTGGATTCTCGGAAATGGTACTCATACTGTTTTTTTTTTTCGCTACGAATAAAAATTATGCGTAGCATTCATGCTACGGGGGTCCAAATTATGCCAAAAAGCATAATTAGGCTACAAATGGCCACTATGTATACAGTGGCGGTTTCAAGGGGACCCAGCCACCCTACCTTACCCCCTGGAGGGAAAAAGAACTAATTAGTTCTTGTGCCATTTCTGGCCATTTATAAATGTCCTTATATCAGCCCCAACCATGGTGGGGTTGAGGTCGTCTAGACCCTCCATCTGTGAAAGTCCCTCCCTGTCCCCCTCCCTATTTCAAATTCCTGGGTCTGTCACTGGAAACCTCTATGTCTATGGAACCACCAGTAGAGCAACCACAGATACATCTGAAAGGATCTCACGGTTCAGTGCACACAATTAGCCGACTAACATGATGAACGTGCGCGGAAAACAACAGCCCTTTATTTGGAAAAACTGGCAGAGGTTCTGAACACCACCAACAAATAATTTAACAACAGCTTTTGAAATCGATATCTTGATGTGGGTCCGTCTGACTAATCTGACCAATCAATCGGATACCAAGAGAAGCGATACAGCTGTTGAAAGCCGATATTGATAAACTTATATGAGCTGCGCCCCCTATAGCGCAAGTTATACAAGTTTACTAATCAAACCGTGCTAAATCTAATTTATTCCTACTTTGCGGCGCTCTTCGCTTAAGTCGGTTATTGAAACGGTAATAAATCCCACAAACAACAGATTTCACAGATAACGTGGATTGTTAATTGAACATTTTAATGTTAGGCCTACTAGGCTTTGATTTTTTTTAAACATAGATCACAGGGACTGCTGTAGAAAATCTTGTTCAGGAACTGTATCACCATTGTTAACAATGTTTGATCTAGCTAGATTTGACGTCTTCCAGATATGCACCACTTGACAGTGAAAATAATGCAATTATATCGCAACCTTCTGATACTTGTTACTTTAGCATTCGTTAATTTTTTGTTTTATATCCACGTGTTTAGCTATATCGCAACTGAAAAGGCAGAAATTGAACAATTAAAGAAACTGCTAGAGTTAAAATATCGTGATTTGCATAAGGAACCAGCACCTCGTGATGAGTCGTCTGAGGGTGATGTTCAAGAATCAGTCGCAGAGCCAGTTGAGGAAGTTCGTCAAATGAAATTAATAGATCCACGTAAAGACTTTCGCTTCACCCTAAACAACGAATACGCATGTTTCAATTTGGATGGAACTTACAGAAGAGTGTTCTTGCTTGTTGTCGTGTTTTCTATACATGAACACTTTGAGCAGCGGAAGTTGATTCGGAGGTCATGGGGTTCTGTTGAAATTGTAAATGATAGAAATATCGTAACGAAATTTCTTCTCGGACGTGTTCACAATTCGGGACTGCAAACACTCGTTGAGGAAGAGAACGACCAGTACGATGATATAATAATTGGAGACTTTGACGACACTTACAAAAATCTGACACTGAAAACCATCCAGACTTTAAAATGGGTAACAAACTATTGCTCTCATGCCAAGTATGTAATGAAAACAGATGACGATATGTTTGTTCACTATAAAAACATTGTTAACTTTCTGGCGGGAAATACCAGCAGACGAGATTACGCTGTTGGTTACTACATGAAAACTAAGCCAATCAGAAACGTGCGCAGTAAATGGTACATGCCTAAAGACGTTTATCCACATGATAAATACCCGCCATTTTTGTCCGGCACAGGTTATATAATGTCTGTTGACCTAGTTATGAGAATGAACAGTGTTTCATCAGATGTTGCTTTTCTGCACCTGGAAGACGTTTTTGCAGGAACACTTTGGCAAAAGTTGGGAGTGAAGCCTCAAGGAAATAAACGGTTTCATAATGCGCCGGTAAAATTTTCATATTGTGCTTACAAGAAATTGTTCACGTCTCACACATCACCGAATTTTGTGCGGGTCTGGAGAGAACTTAAAACGACAGAGAATAAAAAATGCTGAAGTAATAACAACAACACCTTAAATCGAGTACTGCACGTAACATCTTTCCGGGAATTTGGCCAAGCTTGTGAAAATCGTATTGTCGTTTAAAATGAGTAGCAGATCATCGCTGATTGTTTGATAATTTACCTAAATGTGCTAATAAATTGCATTGTTAATCAAAAAGCATTTCTGAAAGACAACACATGCATTAATCATGCTTTGTAATAAATGAACTCTTAGCAGAAGCGGAAAGAATAGAAACGTACACTTCAGAGAATTGGCATCAGTGGTACTGCTCATCACCACCACCAGCTCTGTTTCCTTGGCGTTCAAACCGTAAACCCAATACATGATTTGAGTACGGTATTATAATTTGTACTATAGATTTTATTATTATTATTATTATTATTATTATTATTATTATTATTATTATTATTATTATTATTATTATTTATCAAAACTTACATATTTGTACTAATTATACCATTTAGGCCTGAATGTATTGTGTCGTCTGATTTATTAGATAAAAATAATAAAACAAAAAAAAAACAATTATTTCCTATGTTAAGTATTGAATACCTCAAAATTAAAGCAGAAAAATCTATAGGCAAACAATTTTTTAGGAATGATACAGAATACCCTACTTGGTTGGTTTATTGGATTTGGTGGGGGAGGGGGATTCTATCTTGGCAATTTGTTGAGGAACACCTGACAAGTGGTAGCGGCTGACCCGGTATGCAGTACTCTCGACTTGATTGCGGATGGAGACCCTCCATAACATCCTGTTTTCCATTGAAAACCAAACCATAGTTTAGTTTTAATGATTTTTTAATGCTTGGTGAATTCGTGCTTAAAGGTCTTTTTATAATTAACTTTTTCCAAAAAAGCATATACTGTATATAAACAAATATACAAAATGTATAATTATCCTCACGTCCACGTTCAGTCTTGCAAGTTGCAATCCCGTGGCAGTAATGTCCCCAATGTACTCGTGGCCATGTAACCACGACGAAGGCGAAGATATTTAACATAGGCCTAATTATAGAATCTATCATACAGACATATATATCATTTTAGAAGCGGTTGGGCTTGGACTCTCAACCTTGAGGGCGGGGTTCGAAACTCTAGATGTGCAAGTCGCCTTATCTATTACTGTACCTTATGGTTGAAATATATCTGATAAAGTATGCGCTGCTCTCGAGAGTAGGGCTAATTACCCTGTGTGTACAGTGGCGTAACGCCGGATCTGGAGGCCCTGCAGCTTCATGATACCGGAGCCCCCGGAACACTGGGCCGGCGCCAGCATTATTTTTTTGCTATACAGTTGCGGCAGAGATTATAGAGGGTGCTATTTTAGGTCAGTTAGGAGAACTGATATGTATGAATATGCATAGAGACTCCCCCTCCCGAATCCGAAACAGAGGCAGTGGTGCGTCGACTTTAATGCGTGGATAAACGCTATGGAGTCACTAGGCCAACATTTCGTAAATAAGCCTTTGGTATTTAAGACAGTATAATGTAAAAATGATAGTACTACATTAGACACATTCTATGTACGCCTACAGCTGGTCTTCGTAAGTTAAAAAAAAAAACGGAGTAGGCTAATATTGAATCTGGCACCGTATTTGGCTAGTAGGCCTAGGCCTATAGTTAGGCTTATACAGTGTGACGTGTGTGCTGTAGCAATTGTATAGTAGTACTGATTCTGAAGGACGTTTAGAAATGCTCGGAAACAAATTACTAGTGCTTCGGACACAGTTAATTTACAATTTTACAATTATTTTTTTTTATGAGAAAAAAATCTATGCCTATTAACAAACAGTGAGCGTTTCTGTATTCTTTTGCATGATTCATTGGCTGTATATTTAAGGATTTTTGTAGAACCGTCTGTAAATCAATGAAAGCTATTTTTACTTCCATTTGATTTTGATCGTTTTAAATATAAAGCCATTCAATATTTAATTGGGTAGACCGTGGAGAAAATATATTTCCTCCATGGATAGACACAGCCTAAACAGTACGTCATATCATGTGTATAAAATATCGAAAATTACGGTAGTGTTTATAATATAGGCCTACCTGCTTGCTACAATCTATGCCTTTATTCATATTGAATATGAACAAAATGTTTGTAAGAAGTCAACATTAAAACAATACATAGAATTGTACCTGTGTGTCCGAACAATTCTAAATATTTATATCCTTTAGAATCAGGACTATAACAGTTAATTATTGTTATACTTTACACTACTCAAATAATCGACCAGAAATTCAGCGCTGCCCTTTTATACTTTCAAAGACCATGTAAACACTGCCTATTGTAATTACAGTAATAGCCAATTACGTTAGTTCACTCTGTATGACCATAGAGAAAATAGAACTATTTTCTCTATGGTATGACTCTAACACTTTCCTCTCGACCGACTACCAAGAGATTTTGGCTTACCCTAACCATGGAGGAATTAGTTTAGTTGTAAACTAACTCCTCCATGTCCTAACTACGCCGTAGCTTTCATATTCCACAATCAGCGAACACCAAACCACTTTCGCTACTCGTGAAAAGAAGTGTCAAGCAAGCCTGAATTATTCATGTATCAGTTCACCTAAATGACCTTAAATAGTGCCCTCTACTGTATGGGGAAAAAAACATAATGCGGCCCGGCAAAGGTTCCAGAGCCATTTACAGAATTTTAGAAGTCCTGATATTCGATTTTGTATCAACGAATATAATACAGATACAAATATTTAGTATTAAAATAAATACGCCTATGACGTTTTAAAATTAAGTACAAACACAACATAGTGAATGGGGAAAAAACACAGAGAGACGGAATTCGGCGGCATGATTCTTCGATTTCTTTTTTCTGTCAATGCGCTGTGTTTCGTCAATAGCCTTTGTACGCAGTGTCGTATGGTAATACTGTATAGTACTCTCGTATCATGTAATATAACTTGTAATTTTAAGCATTTTGTGATGTAAGCGTTTATTATTCTTTACTTGTACCTTGTAGGTCTACCATACGAGCTCATAACAGAAAAAAGGTCCAATCTCGTTTGACGAATAATTTATTTTACTTTGTACACAAGAAGTTTAACAGGCCTGTAGACAAAGAATTCTGAGAGAAATATGGAACGGCTTCAATTATTTTGCAAATATCATCACCGACTGGGTCCAACAGATAAAAATCATCTCTTTTGTAATAGTGTAGAGTGCAAAAATAAACCGTCGAAATATTAGACGAGCAGATTTAGATGAAAAATAGGTCTTAAAGAGTCAAACAAATCGCAAAAGTCTGTTTTATTGTTGATTCTGGTTTATCAGGTTTTGCTAAATGACATATCCACCCAGAAGTCACCTAATTTGCACAAATATGCAAATTAACTTTCGCCATTAAAGGAAAATCGATTATTCGCAATAAACTGCATATTAATTATAAGCATATAATTATGTTAAATATGCAAATTAGCGGCTGTCATTAAGAGAAAATTGATTTCCCGCAGTTATTTTGTGTCTTAAGCATTCATTCATGACAAATATCCAAAGTCATGTTTTAAGGGTTAGGGAGTATGGTTAGCACATCCGTGAATAAATTATATGCACAGGAGGTCTATAAATAATTGTACAGATTCAATTATTTTAAATGAAAGTTACGGTACCTGTTGTAATTACAAAACAAAATTTCACAATATATTGTATCAAGTATCTAATAATATAAAGTGTCCAGACCGAAGTTTTAATGGTTGAAGGAATAGAATTAGCAACATTTTGTAGATTAATTGTAAATTCAACTCACATAAATTTGAGAAAAGATTGTCATATAGTTTCTTGATTGATTCCTATGCCTGTAACATATCAATATGTAATCTATAACATGTGGATACCGTACCTCTTTAGCCTACTCCATATATATTTCAGTACGCAAACGCTTATAATGGATTTGTCCATCTTGACACTTTTCACAACAGTGGCTAAACATTCCTTGCACATTAATCATCAACATCGAACCTTCTATCTCCAGTCTTCAGGTATTAGTTCTATATTTCCCATCATACGCGAGTCTTTAAATAAACTCTGTATTAAATTTACTTGGCAGCACTTTCGGTAGGTGATGGTCTTTGAGGTGAAGTGTGGACCGGATGACCTTAAATAAGTTAAATGTATGGTTAAGTTTGGGACATTATCTGACTTCTTTGAGTGGCAGAAGGAGTTAACCAGGGGTTTTTTTTCACTGATTCTCTTTTCTATATACAACAATGAGAAAGCAAATATGCACCGTTCAAAATTGCCAACAAAATTGCTTTTACTGCGTACTGTATTTCAAGTGCCAATATTTATCGTATTTAATGTATATGTTTTTGTTTTTAAATGCACCACAGTTATCGCGAGTGCCACTGATAAACAACTGTGTAAACAGAGAATATTATTAGTACCTAGTCTTAGAATTTTTTTTCTTTAAATTAAAAATCCGACTCATGAAAATTTAAAACGTCGGAGCTTTCGGGAATTGCACTGGGGCCCGTTCTCCGCTGGCTACGCCGCTGAGGGTGACACAACGATCTGTTCATGTTAAAAAATGTACGAGTTTTTGTACTGACATCTGAGATATGGAGCAGGCTATGGAGGTATTCACATGCTATTGATAACATATTTCATCTCGTAATACGTGGTTACGAGATTACTGTGAGATACGAGCATGCGCATGCGCGAATCAGTGAGCAACCAGTACGGTCAGTGGCGAAAATACAATTTTTTCAAAGTGAGCTTTTTCATTTATTTTTCCGGTATATTCGATACCTTTGTTTATTGAATCAATACGACGGACGTCGAAGATAACTATAAGGTCGGTAACTTTCCTTTTTGCTTAAAATGTCAGATAATTCTAGACAGATTATTGTTTTACCTGATGCATTGGACCTAGGGCTTGGTCTCGAGACCATCACCGATGAGAAAAATGTTGACCGCCCAAGTGGTAGTGGAACCACCAATACTCCCACTATTGGTGGGAAAACTACGAGGGCGGCTAAGAAACGAAAATCCGATTCCTCACCTACTAGAAAGGAGACCAAGAAAAAGAAGGCACAAAACGTCAATGATCGACTCGATCACATGGAAAAACTTTTAAATGACTTTATAGAAAGGCATAATAATATGGCAGAAAATGCCGAATATTATAGGCGACAGTCGGAAACCGCCGTTAATTATGGTCGTCAGGCGGACACCGCCGATAATCACGAAACTCACGAAGTGGGAGAGTGTGATGATATAAACTCGGAGGATGACGAGTTAATGGCACTTAATATTATTGACAAAGAACATGTTAATGTACCTGGTAAAGCCGGTGTACATGAAGATGATGCAGAAAATGCTGTTCAATTGTTAACACCACAGGATAAAATCCAACATGGCTTCGCTCGCTTCAGGGCAGCAAAACCTTCTGGGGACTCAGAACTGCTACTTTAGTTCGTTGGACCTGAGAGATGCATATTATTCGGTAGCGATTCACCCGGCCTCTAGAAAATACCTACGATTTTTATGGCAAGGAAAATTGTGGCAATTTAAAGCCTTACCCAATGGACTTGCTTCTGGTCCGAGGATTTTTACAAAAATTCTCAAAATTCCAATGTCTATTTTAAGAGGTTTAGGTCATGAAATCGTGGCCTATATCGACGATACACTGCCTATAGCAGAAACACAGGTAGAGGCGGAAACCGCTGTCAGGGATACCGTAAACATTCTCCAACGGTTGGGCTTTGTAATTCATTGGGGAAAATCAGTGTTGAGCCCAACAAACGAAATTGAATTTTGAATTTCTGGGTTTTATACTTAATTCGGTGTCCATGACTGTAAAATTAACAGAATCAAAAATAATAGAGATATAACAATTCTCAAAACAGATTATAGAAGCTAAATCACCTCTTACGATAAGGCAGCTATCTTGTTATATTGGAAAATTAGTATCCGCTTTACCAGGTGCGGATTATGGCCGGCTTTACTATAGAGAACTTGAAAAGGAAAAAATTAAACAATTAGCGATATATAAAGGCAATTTTGACAAGAAAATAAAATTGGGTTTTAGGGCAATAAACGATGCCAAGTGGTGGCTTTTAAATGTTCGAACAGTTTACAGGCGGATTCAGGGGTTTCAAAAGCTGCCGGCGCGCGACGGATTCCGCCGTGTACATCGCCTATATGTGCGTCGCCTACTTTTTAGCCTGTGAAAAAAAAATATAGCCTATAGGCTACCCATGCAGAGATTGTGTGGTTGTCCTCATCATGGTACACAGCGATACATGGCTAGGCCTAGATTATTTATATTTACTCAAAACTTACTTTATATTTACATTTACTCAAATCATAGCAATTGTCTAATGCTTGTTTATCCGATGTGACACTGATAATGATAATTTATCTGTTTGATTGGCGATCTCGCCGCACTTGATCTCTCACTCATCGTCACCTCTGACACTAAACTGACCTCATGATAATAAAACTAAGCCTAACACAGGCTGTTAAACGGTTTCCAATTGGATCGTTTTACACTGTCCAATCAAATCTTTCGTTTATGAAAAGTTGTAGTTGGAGACAGGGTTGCCATTTGGCCTTTTTGACGGCCAGATTCCTCAAATCTGGCCGTATAAAAATTTGCCTGGCCGTAGCATTTGGAAAGTCACGGCCAAACTATATTTGGCCGAATTTGGCCGAATTTTTGAAAAGCTTACATTTTTTTCAATATAGGTCTAATATAACGTAGACTTGTTGAAAGCTGTCTCTTATACACATCTAGATGTGTATAAGAGACAGTGTTTGTACTTGCACTAAATGCACTTAATCTATATTCCCCGATTCAGCCGATTTGACGTAAGAGAGTTTATTTAAAAGATAACAGTCACATTTAATAATTTAAATGGTTCGGATGAAATATATCGATAATGTTTATCCTCGTTTAAGCTTTATGAAGACAGTTCATTGTTTGTACCATATTGTGTGTCTTTGTATATGTTCCATCTTACTATTGGAGGTTCTATCTCTTTTGAATTTCTTTTGAATATAAATTAAATACAGTACTTTAATTAATTTATTATTGCCCTCTTGAATTGTATAGCCATAGGTGTCGCAGTGTTCTTTATGTAGAGCGCCATATATAAACGCTCGATTTGATCATTCGGGTCCGATGGCACCTCCAATTTCAAGCAAGTCCTGCAGAGACTTCTTCAAAAACACTCCTTAGTTAGGTTGCATATGAGAATGAAGAAGATAATTCTGATACTATAGCAACATTGATTTATTGCTTAAAGTACTGCGATAATAACATTCAGAGGCGAATTTCGAAAGTTTAGATAAAAAGTGTTTATTAACATTTTCATAGGTTTGTTTTAACGCCAGTGTTACCTAACTATATAACTTAATTCATTCTAATTAAAGAGAGCCACGGATTTGCCAATAACAGGCCCCTTAAAATTGTTGCTATAGATCGACTACAATGTACATTAATATTTAATGCATTTAAATCAAATTTAGATCAATCTTAATATTGTGAATTTCCTCTAAGATGGTGTTATCTCGATCGGACCCACTTTCGCCCCCCTCCCCCACCCGCTTCCTCCCCTTTTTCGGCCCCGGTCTTCCCCTTTCGGACATCTCTGGATTTTCCCCTGAATTGACCTGCATGCCAGCAACTAAAGAACATAGGCTATTTATCTTTAACATTGTTCTATGTATATCATTTGAATTTCTTCAATTTCAAAGGAATGAGCGCTGATTTTCGTATAATTTTTGTAGTATTTCAAATGAATGTACCCACTGTTGTCTTCTAATCGGATTAAAATCTGGCCGAATTTTGGCCGATATCGAAAAAAAGTTTGGCCGAATTTGGCCGTGAGATGGCGTGTGTTTGGCCGTGAAGCCTGTCGACTATCTGGCAACCCTGGTTGGAGATCGCGGAAAATGACACTGAAGTTGTAAAGGAAGAGAAAATTGATGGGTTTTTTTTCTCAAAAAAGGCCAAAAAGGGTAAGTATTTTAATGAACATGTGATGGTAGTGAATTAACAAAACAGCTAAAATGATTCATGAGTCTGATCATGAATGACGATTGATGGGCCTCTGCAAAGGCCCACGAGGTTTTGCTCACTCATTAGACCTCTACTACTACTAGTGCCTAGAGAAGAAGAGGCTAGCTATAGGCCTAGCTAGAGTGAAAATACAAAGTATAGGCTAGTACAGTCTAGTTAAGTTAGGATACGCCATCCGTCCGGTTCCAGCAATTAATTATCGTGGATAGCCTACACATTGTTTACTTAAAAGGATTATTTCACCATACATAGGCCTAGGCCTAGTATTAGTAAATTGTATGTAAACTTATTATGATAGATTTAAAGCCCCATTCCCGGCAAAATTTCAATTTTTAAGAAAAATCTAATTTTTGTATAATGTTATAAAGATTTATAAATATAATACGGAATTGCTAGTTTAACTGAATTTAGACATTCCTAAGAATGAAAAAAATGTAAAATAAGACTGAAATTTGATTTTTTTTTTTGTGTTTCCACACAAAAAATAAATGCGGATGAATTTTTCATGTTGATTTTGCGATAGGTCGTGAGA